ACCACTTTATTTTCCCAGGTGCATCCGCCTCAACGTCAACTCCAAGTCCCTGAAGCAGGCGTGCCGTTTGGCTTAGGGTTTTAGGGTTTAGGGTTTAGGGTTTAGGGTTTCGGGTTTAGGGTTTAGGGTTTAGGGTTTAGGGTTTACGATTTAGGGTTTAGGGTTTAGGGTTTAGGGTTTAGGGTTTACGATTTAGGGTTTAGGGTTTAGGGTTTAGCGGGCCGGAGGGAGGTGGAGGGGATATGGGAACCCGTTTAAGGCCCAAGTATATCTATATAGGTATATGGACCCTTCGGGACAGTCACACAGATCCTCTCCCTCGACTGTTATCTTGTATTGGACCCTAAACCGTAAACCCGAAGCCCTAAACCGTAATCCCTAACCCTAAACCAGCTCTTCTTCACTAAGACTGCCGTCGGCGTATTGGTAACGTCCTACGCGGTGCATGTTTTAATTTTAGGGTTGCAGGATTTTGGAGTTTTAGGGTTTAGGGGTTTTGGGATTGAGGGTTTAGGGTTTGAGGGTCCAGGGTCTGAATGTTTTATACAGGTTTTTAGGTTTAGGGTTTCTCTGTTGCAAGGGCTAGACCCGTTTGCATCTAGTGAGCTCTCAACGCAGAAACGGATTCCCATGGTTTGCGTTACATTGCTGCGGAACCAAACACCACCTCTACAGGGTGGGGCCCCCTTACTATACTAACTGTAGTTAAGGGACTTATAACCTAACTTAGTGTCCTTATAACCCAATTTAGGGCCCTTATAACTCTACTTATAGCTAGGGGGCCCCACCCTGTAAACCTCCAAACCCTAAACAGCCCTAAAGCCCCAACACCCTAACAACCCTAGAGCCGGAAACCTGACCTAAACTCCTAGAACTTGGGATGTTCCCTCTTATACTAACAGTCCTGAATAGGGGGTATAGTACCCCCTAATATGATCAGATGATCGTACCCTCAATTATGATCCCTATGAAGGGACTGCTAGTATACGGGGGAACATCCCAACCTAGAACCCTAAACCCTAAACCCTAAAACCCTAAACCCCTAAAACCCTAAAACCCTAAAACCCTAAATCCCTAAAACCCTAAAACCCTAAAACCCTAAAACCCTAAAACCCTAAAACCCTAAAACCCTAAACCCTAAAACCCTAAAACCCTAAACCCCTAAAACCCTAAAACCCTAAAACCCTAAAACCCCAAAACCCTAAGCCCTAAATCCTTAAACCCTAAACCCTAAAACCCCAAAACCCTAAAACCCTAAAACCCTAAACCCTAAAACCCTAAACCCTAAACCCTAAACCCTAGAACCCTAGAACCCTAGAACCCTAAACCCTAAACCCTAAACCCCAAACCCCAGAAGTTCGGGCGCGCGCAGGGGCTGAAGATGATCAACAACGTCAAGCTGCGGGTCATCTCCGAAGCTGGGTTTGGGGTTCAGGGTTTAGGGTTTGGGGTTTAGGGTTTGGGGTTTGGGGTTTTGGGTTTAGGGTTTAGGGTTTAGGGCTTAGGGTTTAGGGGTAGGGTCAGGTTTTAGGATTCAGAGTTGAGGGTTCAAGGTTTAATATTTTTAGGTTTTAGAGGCTTGGGGATATTTTCAGTTTCCCCTTATTTGGGTAAGGAGGATCATATTGCCGGAAGATTTGTTGAGAGAAACCCCAAACCACAAACCCTAAACCCAGAGCTTAGCAAAATCTAGACAAAATGGCCAGCCGAGGAGGCAGTCAACAACTCCGGGCTTTGCGGTGCGGAGAGACGCTGGGCGAGTTGAGTGTTCAAATGGGGCCACTTGAGGTGAGTTTGGGGTTTAGGGTTTAGGGTTTGGGCTTTTGGGGTTTAGGGTTTAGGGTTTGGGGTTTAGGGTTAGGAGTTTGGGGTTTAGGGTTTAGGGTTTAGGGTTTACTCGCTTTGGAGGATCCATGTTTTAGGGGCTTGCAGGGCTTTGGCCATCGATCAGGGCACCCCAAGCCAGGGCAAACGTCGAATCTACCCTAAACCCTAAACCCTAAACCATAAACCCTAAACCCTAAACCCTAAACCCTAAACCCTAAACCCTAAACCCTCCTAAACCCTACCCCCCCCCCCCCCCCCAGGTCGCCAAGGTTCGGTGCGCCATCGTGCAAGCAACAAGCCCCTTCAGATCCCCTGAACCCCCTAGACCCTAAACCCTAAACCCTGAACCCTGAACCCTAAACCCTAAACCCTAAACCCTAAACCCTAAACCCTAAACGAAACCCTAAACCCTTCAACCCCACCCCTATACATCCAGGGCGGGCCTTAGGTGAAAATCCTGGAAGTCGAAGTTGATGATAGAAACACTGTGCTATGCCGATGCAAGCGATTCTGCCCACCTGAACTGTCCTTTAGCAAACCTGCAACCCTAACCCCACTGGTAGCCCTAAACCCTAAACCCTAAACCCTAAACCTTAAACCCTAAACTCTGAACCCAAATCCTTAACCCTCATCCGTGAGCCTCAACCCTCAACTCAAACCAACCCTGTAGGCTCAGGGCCGAAAGGCCGAGGGTGTAGACAAGACCCTAAACCCTAAACCCTAAACCCTATACCCTAAACCCTAAACCCTAAACCCTAAACTCCTAGACAAAATGTCCTCAACATCAAGCCCGGAACCCTCAAGCCTGAGCCCTGAGTCAGGGTTTAGGCATTTAGGGTTCAGGGTTCAGTGTTTAGGGTTTAGGGTTTAGGGTTTATGTTTTAGGGTTTAGGGTTTAGGGTTTAAGGCAAGGTAACCCGAAACCGGTAACGCTCGTCCTGCTTGCACGCCTCGCCAGAGCGCCTTCCGAGGTCTTGTGGGGGAGTTCGTGCCTGCTGACAGCTACTGGTCGGGAATTGTGGGATTAGGGTTTAGGGTTTAGGGTACCATGTGTCTGCCTGAGTATAGAACCCTGTCATGTGAATCCCCCCGGATTCTACTTACAGTTAGACTTGTTGTATCTAGGGTTTGAGGTTTAGGGATGTCCCTGTTTTGTAAGAAATGGATACTCTGCCAATTCTATGTTCTCAAAACTGTTTGACGTTGCTCGGTGCTTCTGCGTCCTCTACATCCAACTTAACCATTTTTCCCCACCTCGTTGTAGGTTGTGATTGTTGAGCGCCTTAAATTTCGGAGAAGAACTTTGGGGGAGGGCTCTCGGGCTATGTGAACCCCCCTAGCCACAACGCACAACCGTTCAGGGTTTGGGGTGTAGGGTGTAGGGTTTGGGGTTTAGGCTTTAGAAACCCCAGCCACACCCTACCTAAGCTGAACTCTTAGGTGGTTCATGGCCTCCCTAAACCCTAAACCCTAAACCCTACACCCTAAACCCTAAACCACATCAGATGTTTGCGGTTTTCTTCTCCGCTTTTCTTATGGAGCGCCAGACGGGCGTTCGGGCTTCGGGGGCATGAGAGGGCGTTGAAAGGATCAGGGCGTTGCCCCCCCAGAAGCCCTAAAACCCAAAAGCCTTTGAAGGCTTTAGGGTTTTAAGTCAGGGTTTAGGGTCATTTAGGGTTTAGGGTTATTTAGGGTTTAGGGTTTAGGGTTTAGGGTTTAGGGTTTAGGGTTTAGGGTTTAGGGTTTAGGGTTTAGGGTTTAGGGTTTAGGGTAGCCACCCTAAGCCCCAAAACCCTAGCCTTCAGGGATGTTGCGGATCGGGACTTCGAATCGTCAAGAAGAGATCCCTAAACCCCCTAGCTACTAATTGCTTAAGACCCCCCCCCCCCCCAATATATCTATATATATATATATGTATGTAAGAGGAACCTTTGTGTATAATATGATGATTCGGTTTGGGGTTTAGGGTTTAGGGATAAGGTTTAGTAAGTTTAGGCTTCAGGGCTTAGGATCGGTGCGTTTTTCTTTGCTCCTAAACCCCTGAGGTGCCGAGGGCGCCTTAAACCCTTAAGCCCGAAGTCCTAAACCTCAAGCCCAACAAAGTTGCTAGCCCGCACACTTACTGTGGGTCAGGAGGGAATCGGGGAATAATGTGCTGCACGTTTGGGGGTTTAGGGTTTATGCAGGGTGTAGGGCTTAGGAATTAGGGTTTAGGGCTTAGGGTTATAGCTTTGGGCCACATTTTGCAAGCAGCTCCTGTGCACTCGCGCTGTCGTCTCACATTGCTCGCGTATCAGTGGAGCCAACAGGCGCGGTCCCAGAGTAGGCGCGGTCCCAGAGTAGGTCGGGCAGTTTTTGGCCCTCACACTCTGCTTCGAAAAGTCATGCCAAACAGGCACCTGTTTTTCATGCCTGCCTCATGAATTAAAGGTTGGCCAACACAGCTGGAACTTGTCCTCCAGCTGGTTGTTTTGTGGAAGCAGGATGCCTTCAAAAAAATTATTGGATTGCTGGCCACTTCCATGCTTGAAGCCTTCCACATGGTCACAAAAACCCTGTGTAGTGGAAGTGCCTGGCAGCTCTGGTTTTCAACAAGAGTCACCCCAATTATCTTCCTTTAGATTTCAGGGTTTCGGCTTGAGGCTGTAAGTTGCAATGCGTTTTAAAACTCAGGGTACTTGGTGTAGGGTTTCCTGAAAATTTTATTTACAGGCATGTGGCTTTTAGGGCTCATTTTGAGGCACCTGCAGATCTATATTTTTTATTTTATCCGGCTTTAACTATTTCGAACAGTTTGGACTTGCAGGTTCAAGGGTTGTTGACTTTGGCTCGCTGCCAGATTTTTCGGTCTTCAAAATTAGGGCGGAGAGAATGAGCAGCTGAGATCTCGGCAGCTGGGGTTCTGGCTGTGCTTCAAAAGTTTGCAAGGCTTAGGGTTTGGGCTTGAGACTTCAGAATCGAAACGCTGAAACGGTAAATTTAGCATGCTGGTGCTCTCTCTGGAGGGCCCGGTCCAGAATTTAGCATGCTGGTGCTCTCTCTCAGGTCCCCGGCAGCCTCCCACTTTCCCCCAGGCCTGTCATGCTGAGCCTTGTTTATTGATGGCTGTTTGCCCAGGCTCATGACCATATTGTTCACTTCTCTCTTGGCTGAAATGTCACTCGCAGCGAAACCTAACCGAAAGCTGCAGTCAGCATGGCAGCAATTCCTGAAGTCAGCATCAGACTGAAAGCAGCTTCTTTTTTGCCATCGCACTTGCCAGGATCGATGCTGACATGTTCTAGGTAAAACGCCAACTTGTAGCCATCTATCTCCTTGCAAACACAGAGCGCCTGTGTTGTCCAGGAAGTGGCTCCCAGATCCCCGAAACCCCATAGCTGATGATATCACATCAGCAGAGTGCTCACTTCGCATTCTGGGCAGGCTTTCCTTTTCGGAATGGGTTGTCTTGAGAATTCACAGCATTTCCGGCAGCCTCAGAATGGAGGCGACTGAAGTAGGCATTTGCTGCTCTCGCAGCTGCCTCAGCATCCACCTCATACTTCCATTTCTCGCTGGAGCTGGCCAATTCGTGGAAGTAATCTGCAGCCTTGAACTGAAGTGGGCAGTTCGAGGCAATCACCAGGGCTGCTGGGCTCCAAGCATCGCTCAGTCGCCAGGGCCCCTGGTCACTATTCAGTCGTGGCAAATCGTGAGCCTTGTCGGTGAGGGCACAAACGAGCTTGCTTGTCTTGGTCTCATCCTCATGCTGTGTCTCGACCATCCTCCAGAAAATGAAGTCCCTGGTCTCCATGAGCTCAAGCTTCTTTGGGTTGTCCTCCAAGCGATTGTGACCCAATGCTTGCACTCTTGCTTTGCCAAACTGCTCCAAGACCAAAATGTGCTTTACGAGGGTGTGCTGTGGCAGGGGTGTCTCCTCGTCGCAATGGAACTGGTAGGCAAAGCATGTCTTCCACCAATCGTCGTCCTTCTCCAATTCGTGGAGTGACTGCCCCTGCTTCAGGGTGGCCAGCACCATTCGCTGCATAATCGCTGGCGGCAATGTGAGCAAGGTCTTGGCCTTTCCCTTCCACTTGTCCCCATGGTCCACATTCTCCTCAGCGGCTTCCTTTGCCTCAAGCTCGAGGAGAAGTCGCAGTCCGCCCTGGCGAATCACTTTGTCGAGCTTGCTGACCCACCCTGGGTTGGAGTCGATCATGCTGACGATATAGTCTCGCTCATTCTTGTGATTGTTGGTCTCGTATGTCTGCATGACCTTCCTGAGCTTCTCGGCCTGCTTCGCTTCCATCTGGTTCTTCTTCTTCTCTTCCTGGGCTCTTTTTTTCGCTTCTCGCTGGGCCACTTTGAAGCTCTTGGCCGTGGCATTCGCAGCGCGCTGTCCCATGTGTCTTGGTGTTCGCTACGGGCACAGAAGCCTACCCAGAAAACAAATCTATCACAATGGCTTCGGCACATGTTGAAGGCACAGCTGGGCACATGCAGCACAGCAACTGCTCACCGGTTGCAGCTCACAGCGAAACAAAGCACAGTCAAAGCACAGTCACAGCTCAGTCAGTTAGCTTCATTGCAAGAATGCACAGCAGTCACAGTCACAGCACAGCTTCGCAAGCTGCATCCATATCCAGGACATGTGAGTCCGAGCTTTGGTCAAAGAAACAAAATTTGGATCACTTCCTGGATCTGCTGCTGCTAGCTGGCTCTGGGGCTTCAGCTTCGCCGTCCCCTGAGATGCTGCCCCACTCTCTCATCAAAAATGTCAACGTCGTTGTGTTCTTTGTGCTGCTACCAGTTCCATTCTAAGCATGCCCTTGCTGCCTCAGTTGGCCCCACAGCTGTCCAGCTGAAAGACTTCTGCTTGGCCTGGGCTCCAGCGATCTTGAATGTGGTTCGCCATCGGCCATTCTTCACATCGGAAAATACAGCCGTGCAGCTCGGGAGGTGTTCTCGGAGCTTCGCATCGGCGACCGAATCCAGGCCGGCATACATCCGGGCTTTCTTGGGATCCTGGCTTTCGGCAGCAGGTTGGTTTCCTCGCTTCTTTGGATTTGCTTTCGCTTGGGCCCCGCCCTGTGGCAAGCCAGGACTTCTGCGGGCTTCTTGCTCTTCTTTTCTCTTTTGCTCTGCTGCTTCTCGGGCTTTTTGCTCGTCTTGTTTCTTTCGTTCTGCCGATTCTCTGGCTTTTCGCTCCAGCACAGCCTTTCTGGCCACTTCCACTGGTATCTGGTCGTAGCTGCTGTGGAAGCTCGCTTTGGCGATCTCGGCGAGACTTGCGACTGGCCTCGACTTTCGCTCGAGCCCTTTCAAGATTTTTTGCTTCTCTTGCTGTCTCATCGTGTCTTCCATTGCAAGAGCAAGCTCTTCTGTCATGCCTTCCACCCCCCCTTCATCTGCCTCGTTTCTGAACTTCACTCTGTCCAGCACCTCGTGTTCTTGCAGACTGGGGTCCAGGTTGACCATAAGATGAACCGCTGTTGCAACCTCTTGATCATCTGCGTTCGGCGGTGCTTCCTCGTACCCGAGATGCTGCGCCAGCTGCTTGAGCAAACCCTCGCCCAATTGCAGCAAGAGTTTTTGAAGGCCTGGCTTGAGCTGCAGGCCCGACCTATCCGAGCGACACCCTTGAACTGGCACCAGCACAGAAAGCTCTTGCGCGAAGCATCCTTCCAGAGAAAACAAGAAGCCCCAGGTCAGCTGGTAAATTGAATTGTCGAATTCGAGGTTGCCACTGAAGGGTCTGGTTGTCAAAGGCCAAAGCAGGCATCCCTGTGGATAGGTCCTCAGGACCATGTGGGGTCGGTTCTGGTACAGGAAGACAATCCCAGGAGGCAGCAAACCCGACATCCATGCTTTCTCGGCGAGCTCCCACTGCTGGCCTCTCTTGTTCAGGTGCACCAGCAAGGCCAGCCGACAGAAAATTCGCTGTTCGCTCTCTGGTGTGAACGCCGGCCATGTCTGAGTTCCAGTCACACCCTGCACGAACTCAAAATCTGCTTGTTCTTCTGGCGTCTTCTGACGAGTGCGATCTGCATGAGGTCGGCGCATACCCTCGACGTCGAAGTCTGCAGGCACATTGTACTGCTTTCGGGCTTTGACCTCCTGTCTTTCGTAGGCCTTCAAGACCTCGTGTTGGCTCACACAGTGCCAGGCTTCTCCCAAGGGCAACGTTTTAGCATTGTTGCTCCTATCCTCATGCTGTCTTTGGAATTTGTTCGCATCCTCCACGAGCTTGCTGTTCAAAAGACCACCCCAGACCTTTCGCAACAAACTGTCCAACCCCTCGGGCACTTCTCGAAAATTCGCTTGAGCAAGCCAGTGGAAAACGTGCTTTATCCAGACTTCCTCGCACATGCTGTGCTGTAGGAGGGCCTGGGCAGCATGGGGCCCATTCTCTTTTACTGCCAGCACAGCACCGAAGAGATCCCGATGCCACTGCAAGCTGAAACACACTTTCTCCTCAGTCTCTCCCAGCAAGCCGGCAGAGGCTCCTGGGCCCCAGGTGTGCCACAGGTTGCTTCCAGCCCGAAACTTGAAGATGCTCAAAGTGAACTTCCACAATTTCGTCGCCATGGCTAGGTCCCAGTCCACCTCTCCTGGCTGGCAGTCTTTGTTCCAGGCCATACAAAGCCCGATCCTGTCCAGCGCATGGGTGTCCGTCAGGAGCTGCAGATGTGATTTCGCTGTGTCCAGCCACCCTCCATGCGCCCAGGAAACCAAGTACTCCAGGGTCTTCCCGGAACCTCGCATTTCCTGCAGCATTTTTGATGCTGCTGCCGACTCGGGCTCCAGAACAGCAGCGATGATTCTGCTCTCGCTTTTGATGCAGTCGTCGTTCATGTACTTGGTCATGGCATGCAAGGAGTTTACAGCCCGACTCCGAAGCTGCTCCAACTTCTCCTTTGCTTGCCGCTTGGCCTTGCTTCGACTGAGGCCCTCGTCGGCCTCCTTGTCGACTGTACCATCGGGACACCACAGCCGATCGGCGAATTGTACCCAACCCTGCACCATGCAAGTCGCAGTCATGACGAAGGCTTGGCTGGACCAATGTGAGTCGATGAGACGATGAGCACTGGCGATGCTGTTGAACTTAGTGGTGGCTGCAACCGGCCCTTTGCTCGTCAAGAATTGTTGGCTTCGCAGCGTCTTCAAGAAGTGGTCGCGGCCCGTCTGGCTGTCCTCTAGCAAGAAACCACGATCCTTGAGTATGTCCGGCCAGAACTTGAGTAGAAGCGGGTCGTTCCGGGGCATGTCTCTCAGCTGATGCGCTGTCTCTTGCAGCATGCGAAACCATCCTCCTTTCAGCCAGGGTCCGTACTTAATGTTGTACAGGGACAAGTTCATGCAGACTCGTCGCAACAAGCCTGCATCAGCCATGGATAGGAGGACATCGTTCTGTCGTCGATGCATTGGGTCATAGATGTGCAGAAGACCGAGGCCCTTCTTATGCTTCAAAAAATTGCACCCTGAATGCAATTTGGGCGGTTTTCAAGGCCGCCAAATGAGCCAACATCCCTATGTTTTGGCCTTAGGTTTAGGGTTTGTGAAAGCAAAAAATCGCCAAAAATCACTAAAAATTGCCATTTGGGTGGTTTCCAAGGCCGCCAAACTAGCAAAAATCCCTATGTTTTGGCCCTAGGTTGAGGGTTTGTGAAGGCCAAGAATCATCAAAAATCACTAAAAAAAGTCATTTGGGCGGTTTCCAGGGCCGCCAAACTAGCCAAAATCCCTATGTTCTGGTCGTAGATTGAGGGTTTGCGAAAGCAAAAATGATCAAAAATCACTAAAAAAATTGTCATTTGTGTGGTTTCCACAGCCTCCAAACTCGCCAATGTCGCGAAAATATCCGCAAACATATCCACCCTGTAACACCGGGCGTCGCGCATCAGACCATTGGATGGGAACTTTGAAGACGCAAAATACCCAGACACCGGGCGTCGCGAAAATATCTACCCTGTAACACCGGGCGTCGCGAAAATGTCTACGAAAATATCCACCCTGTCACACCGGGCGTCGCGCGCCAGGCCATTGGATGGGGACTTTGAAGGCGTACAATTCCAAGAAATCACCAACACCTACCCTGTAACACCGGGCGTCGCGAAAATATCTACATAGAAATTGTATAGGGTTCGTGTCCGGAGTTTTGTACGTTGTTTTGCTTTTGGCTGAATTTTTGCTGAAAACACCTGCTTTTTCAGCATTTTTTCAACCCCTCGAAAAGGGTTGGGGGGGTAATTGCCCAAAATCACAAAAAAGTGCCATTTGGGTGGTTTCCAAGGCCGCCAAACTAGCCAAAATCCCTATGTTTTGGTGCTAGATTAGGGTTTGTGAAAGCCAAGAATTGCAAAAAAACACTAAAATTGCAATTTGGAGAGTTTTCAAGGCTGCCAAATGAACCCAAATCCCTATGTTTTGGCCTTAGGTTGAGGATTTGTGAACGCCAAAATGGTCTAAAATCACTAAAAATCGCCATTTCGGTGGTTTCCAAAGTCGCCAAATTAGCAAAAATTCATATGTTTTGGCTCTAGATTGAGGGTTTGTGAAGGCCAAAAATTGCACAAAATCACAAAAAAAAAAAACACCATTTGGGTGGTTCCCCCGGCCGCCAAACTAGCCGAAATCCCTATGTTTTGGCCCTGGCTTGAGGGTTTGTGAAAGCCAAAAATGGTCAAAAAGCAAAAAAAAAAATTCCATTTGGGCGGTTTTCAAGGCCGCCAAATGAGCCAAAATCCTTATGTTTTGCCCTAAGTTGAGGCTTTGTGAACCCCAAAAATGAGCAAAAATCACTAAAAAATGCCATTTGGGTGGTTTCCAGGGCCGCCAAACTAGCCAAAATCCCTATGTTTTGGCCGTAGATTGAGGGTTTGTGAAAGCAAAAAATTGGTCAAAAACCACTAAAAATTGGAATTTGGGTGGTTTCCAAGGCCGCCAAACTAGCCAAAATCCCTATGTTTTGGCCGTAGATTGAGGGTTTGTGAAAGCAATACATGATCAACAATCACTAAAAATTGTCATTTGTGTGGTTTCCACAGCCTCCAAACGCGCCAATGTCGCGAAAATATCCGCAAACATATCCACCCTGTAACACCGGGCGTTGCGAAAATATTTACGAAAATATCCACCCTGCAACACCGGGCGTCGCGCATCAGGCCATTGGATGGGGACTTTGAAGGCGTAATATTCCCAGAAATCACCAATACTTACCCTGTGACACCGGGCGTCGCGCATCTGGCTTTTTTTTTCTAATTTCTCCCCATTGAGGCCAACCGGGGGTTTCAGTAGTTTGAATAGTTTGAATAGTTTGAATAGTTTGAATAGATTGAATAGATTGAATAGTTTGAATAGTTTGAATAGTTTGGGGCCCCAGGCCGGGCCCCCAAACTATTCAAACTATTCAAACTGTTCAAACCCCTCCCCTCTCCTCCCAGGGACCCCCCTAATCTATTCAAACTATTCAACTATTCTAACCCCCCCCCCTTCTCCTCCCAGGGACCCCCCAAAACTATTCAAACTATTCAAACTATTCAAACTATTCAAACTATTCAAACTATTCAAACTATTCAAACTATTCAAACTATTCAAACTATTCAATCTATTCAAACTATTCAAAATATTCAAACTTTTCAAAACCCCGGGTTTGAATAGTTTGAATAGTTTGAATAGTTTGAATAGTTTGAATCGTTTGAATAGTTTGAATAGTTTGAATAGTTTGAATAGTTTGAATAGTTTGAATAGTTTAGGCCCCAGGCCGGACCCCAAACTATTCAAACTATTCAAACCTCCCCCTTTTTTCCCAGGGACCCCCCAAAACTATTCAAACTATTCAAACTATTTCAAACTATTCAAACTATTCAAACTATTCAAACAGGGTTTGAATAGTTTGAATAGTTTGGATAGTTTAGGGCCCCAGGCCGGACCCCCAAACTATTCAAACTATTCAAACACACCCCCTCCTATTCTCCTCCCAGGGACCCCCCAAAACTATTCAAACTATTCAAACTATTCTAACTATTCAAACCCCCAGGGTTTGAATAGTTTGAATAGTTTAGGGCCCCAGGCCGGACCCCCAAACTATTCAAACTATTCAAACCCCCCCCCCTCCTCTCCTCCCAGGGACCCCCCAAAACTATTCAAACTATTCAAACTATTCAAACTATTCAAACTATTCAAAAACCCCCGGGGTTTGAATAGTTTGAATAGTTTGGATAGTTTAGGGCCCCAGTTCGGACCCCCAAACTATTCAAACTATTCAGACCCCCCCCCTCCTCTCCTCCCAGGGACCCCCCAAAACTATTCAAACTATTCAAACTATTCAAACTATTCAAACTATTCAAACTATTCAAACTATTCAAACTATTCAAACTATTCAAACCCCCAGGGTTTGAATAGTTTGAATAGTTTCAAACTATTCAAACTATTCAAACTATTCAAACTATTCAAACCCCCAGGGTTTGAATAGTTTGAATAGTTTGGATAGTTTAGGGCCCCAGGCCGGACCCCCAAACTATTCAAACTATTCAAACACCCCCCCTCCTCTCCTCCCAGGGACCCCCCAAAACTATTCAAACTATTCAAACTATTCAAACTATTCAAACTATTCAAACCCCCAGGGTTTGAATAGTTCGAATAGTTTGGATAGTTTAGGGCCCCAGGCCGGACCCTCCAAACTATTCAAACTATTCAAACCCCTAGGGTTTGAATAGTTTGAATAGTTTGAATAGTTTGAATAGTTTGAATAGTTTGAATAGTTTGAATAGTTTAGGGCCCCAGGCCGGACCCCCCCCCCCAGGGTTTGAATAGTTTGAATAGTTTAGGGCCCCAGTTCGGACCCCCAAACTATTCAAACTATTCAAACCCCCCTCCGCCCTCCTCTCCTCCCAGGGACCCCCCAAAACTATTGAATAGTTTGAATAGTTTAGGGCCCCAGGCGTGACCCCCCAAACTATTCAAACTATTCAAACCCCACTCCCCCCCCCCCAACAAAAGGACGAATCATCACATTATACACAAAGGTTCCTGCCTCATATATATATACATACATATATATATATATATATAGATACATATATATATACATATATATATATATATACATATATATATATATATATATATATATATATATATATATATATATATATATATATATATATATATATATATATATATATATATATATATATATATATATATATATATATAGGGGGGAGACAGGGTACCTCATTCCCTCATTCCCTACTAACCAACAGTAAGATTACAGGTCACTGCACGTCAGCGCACGTGGCGCTGGGCACAAACCCCTTGCAGCCAAGATGCCCAATGTCGAGTCAGGCCCCGCCTGGCAAGGGCTTGGCGGTTTAGGGTCTCGGGTTTAGGGCTTAGGGTTTAGGGTTTAGGGCTTAGGGTTTAGGGTTTAGGGTTTAGGGTTTAGGGTTTAGGGTTTAGGGTTTAGGGTTTAGGGTTTAGGGTTTAGGGTTTAGGGTTTAGGGTTTAGGGTTTAGGGTTTAGGGTTTAGGGTTTAGGGTTTAGGGTTTAGGGTTTATGTTTTAGGGTTTAGGTTTTAGGGTTTAGGGTTTAGGGTTTAGGGTTTAGGGTTTAGGGTTTAGGGTTTAGGGTTTAGGGTTTAGGGTTTAGGGTTTAGGGTTTAGGGTTTAGGGTTTAGGGTTTAGGGTTTAGGTTAGGGTTTAGGGTTTAGGGTTTAGGGTTTAGGGTTTAGGGTTTAGGGTTTAGGGTTTAGGGTTTAGGGTTTAGGGTTTAGGGTTTAGGGTTTAGGGTTTAGGGTTTAGGGTTTAGGGTTTAGGGTTTAGGGTTTAGGTGTTAGGGTTTAGGGTTTAGGGTTTAGGGTTTAGGGTTTAGGGTTTAGGGTTTAGGGTTTAGGGTTTAGGGTTTAGGGTTTAGGGTTTAGGGTTTAGGGTTTAGGGTTTAGGGTTTAGGGTTTAGAATAACCTTCCGCAGCAGGGAGCCCCCGAACATCTGGGTGCATCCGAAGCTCCCGGAGCATCAAGACGACAGCCGCTGCAAGTTGCAGGAATTTGTCCTGATGCACTTTTGGTGCACAACCAGCATGGATGAAAAAGGGTCCAGAATTGCTAAGAAGGGGTTCTGCATGCCCTTGGTCCCAGCTGGCTGCCTGTCTCTGTCAGAGGCCCAGACCGTGCATGACATAGGACGTAGGACACAGTCCTAGCCTGCCGTTCCTCGCATGCCCTACGCTGGTCGCATGCGTGAGCGACCGCAGCCCTGAGCTTGAGCCATGAGCTGCAGAAGACGCGAAAAAACTTGAGGTCAAGCGACGCAAGGCGGAGTTAAAACGGGATGTAGGGGTTTATACGATATTAGGGGTACCCTTTGTGGTGGGCTCCTTTAAGGGGATTCTATTCTATTTTGGGGGTGTAGAAGGGGTACCCCCTATGTTGGGAAATACCCATGTCAAGGTGTCTTTTGTTTCAGACTCACGACAATGCGATACACAGCAGAAGGCGCCTTCTCCATGACTATGTAAAAAGCTGTGGGGTCCTGCGTGCTCGTTGCATCAGGGCTTCATCCATGTTCGACGAGCTCGAGTCCCCGAAGCCTGCTAATCGATTTGTTTCTCCATCTGTCCTCCATGACCTCGTAAATCTTGGCTACGCCAAGGTTCCCTGGCAAATTGAGCAAGAACCTGAGGCCAACATCGGGCAAATGCAGTCACATGGCAAATGTTTTGGATGTTTTCCCAGCCACGTTCCAGCCGGAAAGCTTTCATCGTAAAAATGCCGGGACTCTCCTGCAGATTCCAGTTCTCGGGGCCAGCTTGTACAAGATGCAAATAGGGGTACCCCATTTTTACCCCAAATAGAACCGAATCCCCTTCAAGGGACCCCCAAGAAGGGTACCCCTGTTTTCGGAAACCCCCCTACACCCTAAACCTTGAAGCCTAAACCCTAAACCCTAAACCCTAGACCCCATTTGGCTCTCCATCCTAGGGACCCTGTGCGTATCAGATCAGAGAGGTCGGTTCCCCCTTGAAGGATATGGGGGGGGGTTTACGACCTTCGGTTTTAGGTTTTAGGGTTTAGGGTTTAGGGCTTAGGATTACGATATTCGTGGAGTGCCTTCTTGGGGTCCTTACTGCAAGGGAATCCTACTATTTGGGGGACTATACTAGGGGTCCCTCATAATCGTAAGCCCCCAGATGTCAAGATACTTTTGAACAACGCAACAACTCTGAAGACACGTGGAGGCTCTAAGAAGGGGAAGGGGAGCCTTCATGCTTTGGTGAGGGGGGGGGAGCCCGGACATGGGTCCAGTTGGTTTGCCTTGAATCAGCAGGAGGAGGGGGGATGGAGGGGGGGCGGGGGGAGGGGAGGACGCGATCAGTCCCTACTACAACCGCAACCCCTATGCCCTATGCCACAACCAGAACCCCCGGTAATAGTTGTGGTGGGGACGTTCTTGAGTCCAAATTCAGGGTCATGCGCAAGACCTAGATGCAGTTTGCTCGCAGCATGCCGCAATTTTCACCACGAAACACAGGCCGAGACCCCAACCCTCCTCCTACAAAAAAACACGGCAAGCCCTCACACACACACACACACACACACACACAAAAGAAAAAAAGGAAACCCCTACAACAAACCCCAAGCCACCCCGAACCCTGACCAGAAGGGCCGAACCCTTTACCAACAAACCACACGCCCTCACACAGAACGCAAGTTGAAAAACGCACAACACTTACCACAAACCCCTCAAGAACTCCTCCGGGAACCCTCATGGCACGAGAGATGCCGAAATCCCGACAAACACAACCTGTCTGGTCGTAGTAGAGCCGTTTTCATTCCTGCGGGGGCCCACTGGGGCCCGAAATTGCTTGGCGTTTAGGGGCATGTACCAGACTATCCTTCCCTTCGCCTCCTCTTTGTGACGTTCTCGGATAGTTCTGGGGCTCCCTGCTCGGTATTCTGTCGCCACTTCTTCTCGTCCTGAGGCTGATATTTTCAACAATGTCTCACAGATCTTCTGTCGTGAAGAGCCTGGGAGCCTGGCCTGTCTGCTTCTGAAGCAGCTCGGCTTAAAGCGCACTTTCACCACCACCTCAAATGGCAACAGGGCAATCCCAATCTGTCTGCTTCACTCTGCTTCACCATCGCTCGCGCAGTGCCACAGTTCACAACCCGATCATCGAAAAGCGGAGCTCGGTCCATGGAAGGCAGCGCCATGAACCCTGAACCCTGAACCCTGAACCCTGAACCCTAAACCCTAAACCCTAAACCCTAAACCCTAAACCCTAAACCCTAAACCCTAAACCCTAAACTCATGGAACCCTGGCGCAAACACCAGCACAAGCCCAAGCACACGTTGACTTCGACACCAAGATGCCTCTTGCTTGTCCGACTTTCGAACTGCAAAGTTCACCTCAAGGGGGCGGACGGGTCTTGTGGTTCTGTCGCCCCCCTGCGGCTAAACCCTAAACCCTAAACCCTAAACCCTAAACCCTAAACCCTAAACCCTAAACCCTAAAACCCTAAACCCTAAACCTTAGTAGTTGGTGCCCAAACATCCGAGAGACACAGCTCCCCAGGCCTTCATGTACCTATGGCTGAACCCTAAACCCTAAACCCTAAACCCTAAACCCTAAACCCTAAACCCTAAACCCTCCCCAGTGGCCTTCATGTACCTATGCGTGGAAGGCATGACTTCTTTGCCCATCTCGTAGTACTCTGCGAAGCTGGGCACATTCTGGATGGTCCTCTCCGCAATTTAGCTCAAAGGGGCTGAGGGTTTAGGGTTTAGGGTTTAGGGTTTAGGGTTTAGGGTTTAGGGCTCAACCCTGCTTTCAATAGCACAGCTTCGTCTTACTCTGCATACTGAGTGCGTGCTGACATTCATCAAGACCCACTTGAAGGACAGGTCCTCAGTGGAGGTGGCCTCCCATCAGGTTCCACGTCATGTCAACACAGGTGGCCAAAGCCAAGACCCGAAACTAAGCACGTGAGCCCACATCCAATTACGGCATTCGCAAATACGGAAAAAAAGGATCATTGGATGTCAGCGTCAAAGAGAAGAGGGCCAAGAAGCCGAGCAAGCCTGGGAGGTGGCGCTGATTCCCGCGTGGTCGTGTGGTGAATTTTCCTCAGGGCGCTGTGAGAAAGTGCACAGGGAAGTCCCTAAGTCGCTGAGCCGGCATAGTGGATTCTAGGAGTGGCGGGTTCCGCAGAATCGGAATGGGAATGCGACCCCTGCGGCCATGGCATGCAAAAGCTTGAAAGATCTGCAATATTCCCAAAGAGCCCAATACCCTTCATTAAGGAATATTCCTTACATCAGAATAAGGATCCCTGTATAATTTAAGCTCTATTCCCTTAACTAAGGGGTATTGGGCTCTCGGGGTTCCTTGCAATGCTGGCAAGGATCCCATAGCGCGCATGCAGCGGCTGTGACGACGAGCTCATGACCAGGGCTCCAAGTTGGCTAACAAACGGCAGCCCTAACACTTAGGGTGGCTACGGCTACGCTGGCTGGTGGGTCAGAGCCTTACAGAACCTTCGGGCACCTTGGGTAGGTTCTGCTAAGTTAGAAGCTCGATCCATGGCGTCTCTACATCGTATGTGCGTCTGCCTTGAACTGCGCATGCTGATGAGTACGAGATATGAGATGCTGTAGGATACGTCTGCGCAGTATGAACTAGCCCTGTTGTGACCCCCCCCCTCTTTGCTTGCACAAGATTCTTGAGCCACCGCCCGATCCCCTTCCTGTGTCGGACACAGAGAACCAAGGAAGCTTCGATGGTGCAATAGCTGATAGTGGGACTGCGCGTCCTTCGACTGGAGGGGAAACGACGCCATTCAGAATAGGGCGGTCATGCCCAATACATGGGCATTTTCTGTGCTTTTTACCTCTCTGTACAACAGACTGTAACATACTGCACCAAGATGTGGATCAAGACACGCCGTCACAAGCGTTCATGCCTTTGCGAGCATGCCCAAAACACCGGTATTTACCGTGTTGTTGCTTCGTAAACTGCACAAGGATGTTTGACGTTTCTGGAACAAGACATGCTGTCACAAGCGTTCATGCCTTTCGTGAGCATGGCTCATGAACTGTCTTCGTGATAAACTACGATGTAGATCATCCAAGTAGTCCGTGGCCCCGCCGCCCTCAAAAACACACTCTTCCATGTCATGTTCCGAAACCGCTACGCCCGCATCGTTTCAAGCACTCAACCTGACCCCCAAGTCCTTCCTGCCAGCCTCAAAACAAGGCTAGAAAGAATAGTTTGACTGGCTGACAGGCGTTCCCTTCCACGATCCAGCGGTGCAAACATACTCATTGTAACATGCTCATTGCCGACAAAGAAAACCCATGGCCACAGCCCAGACAGGGCCTCTCCCAATGGCTTCTGCAATCTTTTTTCGCATGGCTGAGTATGCCTTCGAACATTCTTTTTGGTAGCCAGCGCTTCATACGGGAGGGTCATGGTTGGGCTCCCCTTGGCTAGCTCTGGCAGCATGCCGAACTCGATTGCATCACCGTGCCTTGCAATGCAAATGCCGGAACGCCTGTGACACGTCGTGACACGTTGTGGCTAGATTAGCGCCCCACTGAGCGGCTTCCTTTGCAGCGGCTCTTGGGCGCAAGCAGGCAGGGCCATCAAGCTCTACGGGTTCTACGGCTTCTCTCGTGCACATTGCTCAGTCCACGGGGCGAGCGGACTCATCTTTGGACTCATCTTTGGACTCCTCCTTGGACTCCTCCTTGGCAGGAAAAAAGCTCCATGCCCCGAGATCTTTTGGGCAATCCCTGGCCTCCAGGCCCAAGAGCTCGTTCAGCAGCCTGACCGAAGCACGAGCGTGAGTTCATGGAACATGTCTGCTACCAAAAAATGCCTTCTTCAGCCTGATATCAGAAGAAGCATGGCAACCCAAGGACTGATGGCGGAAATGGTATTGGGCGGTCTCCAGCCTCGTGGCTACCGTGCCCACCTTGTACTTTCGAAACATCGCAATAAGCAGGTCGACAGGAATGCCATCAAGGTGTTAATCTGTAGATTACATAGCCACATGGCGAACGTAAACTTCAGGCCGAGTGACCAGTATGGCGACCACCGCAAAAGCGATAGATTCGACCAGAACGATTTGCTGCGCCTCCAAATGCTGAGTTCCACCTTTCTGATGAAGTCTAAAGTCAAAAGCATTCGTCGTCAGCACCGAAATCACTCAACAAAAGCAACATGAATAACATCGTTGCGAACAACAGCAACTACAACACCACCAACAGTCATGCACACGTCAGCAGGCATTCAACCTGCATTCCATGAGACAAAGGGTGCCGACCGTTCGGGCAAGTTGGTGGCAAGACTGAGAGAAAAGGACCCAAGCCAAAAACAAGCCTTTATGCACCCAGCAAGACCAACTGCATGACCACAGCATATTGCCAACAGTGGGCAAGATATGGCAAGATGTTCGCATGCCGGCACGAACACTCACCGCGTGCAGTGGCAAGCGCAGCTGGGATTCAGAAGAAAATTCTGGCACAAAACACCCTCGCAAGCTTTGCTCAAACAGCTCCCCACATTTGGTGCGAACGGCATCAGGAGGAGCACGAATTTCAAAGGCCGTCTTATTTTCAGGCACGCTGGTTGGCATCATCGTCGTGCGGGCAAGGATGTTCTGACAACTCGCACGCATTGGTAGCATGGACGTTATCATCGTATGGTCATGGATGCGCTGTCCGTTCGCATGCACTAGCAACATGGATGTTGTCATCGTGCGGGCACGCATGCTCCCGACAACCGAAGGGCGACACTCCGTGACTCTGCTATGAAAGCAGGTTTCAGATTTGCTTCCCTGGCTATGATCTCAGTTGAGCCACACATGCACTGCCTGTTGGCAGTCCAATGACCAAGGGGCAAGAAACAACGCTCAGGGGCACCTGATTTGAACAATCGCACCTGTACGGACATGTCTTGCGTGGCTTGTAGGCTGCGCCTTGCAGGCTGGCGCATGGCACGTAAACGTCAAGACTGCAAAGACGACGGCGCATGCGCGGGGAGGGGGGGGGGGGGGGCATGTATAGATACAGGGCATGTCGCGAGCAGACGTAGATTGGGATAGTGGAACCTCCACGTGTTAGCTAGTCTAGTGTGCAAGCTCTGTATTTTCTATGTCGGATAGCAACACTGCGTCTAGTCTGCGCAGTGAAGAACCAACGTAAAGGCACAGGGGAGGAATCCTCGACCACCAGCAGACAGACTGGGAATGACTGGGATGCCAGAGGCATATAACCACCAGTAGCTACAGTAGTACATACAGATGCATGTGTTTTTGCTGGTGACTGTTGTGAGTGAGAGTTCGTACAGATGCGACCACACTGCGACCACGTATGTCCACCGGTAAGCATGAGGATAAGGAGAGCACAGCTATTGATGAACAGTCACATGGTAACTCTGCTGGTAGGCTGCGGCATGAGCCAGAACGACCCGAACGACACATCCGCGCTGCTGCAGATGTGCGTAGCTGCGACAGCTCCAAGCTGTCAATCATTCAAAGACGTGCAGATGAAGAGGCAGACTGAAAATATCTGGAAATCTTGCAGAATCCTGCGAAGTCTCAAGTGTTTTTCGCACCCGGGGGGGAGGGGGGTGTAGGCCTTCCTCACATTTCGGCCCCCGTCTTCCCTGGGCAGACCCCAACTTAAAGATGGCGGGGGGTGGCGGCCCTCCCATACATTAGCCAACCTGGAGGTAGCCAGCAGCACCACCACCAGCACCGGCAAGCACAACCATGATAACCACCACACAGATGAAGACTACAGCCAGCAAAGGGAGAACCAGAGCGCCAGATGGCTACCACAACCCTAAACCCTAAACCCTAAACCCTAAACCCTAGTTTAGGCAAGCACGCAACTTTACAAAGCCATGCCTGTGACTGCACCACACTGCCATCATTGCCGACCGACGTCAGCAACAGCATTCCGAAGGACCTCTGCAAAACAATTTGGCCTTCGGGTTTAGGGTTTAGGGTTTAGGGTTTAGGGTTTAGGGTTTAGCGTTTAGCGTTTAGCGTTTAGCGTTTAGGGCTTAGGGGACTTGAGTGCGAAAGACAGTACAAGAAACAAACTGGGCGCCGGACGCGTCCAGGAAGGCCTGTTGTTGAAATACTCAATCGGAGCACAGGAGAAGAGCTACAAGGGAATGGCATTCTGCAAATGTGCTTTATCTTACTCAGCCGTGTCAATGGGCTTTGCCGGTACCTCTGAAATCTTTCTCGGTTCCTTAAAGATCCTTCTGTTGCAGCGTTCGGGTATGACGCATTCAATCTTGGGGGATGGGGGTTCAGCATTGGATTCTGTACGTGGGTTAATCGTCAGCTTCAGCATCCCTTTAAACTTCCATCGTTCTTGATATTCTTGCACTTTCAACTACTTTCAATCATCAACCTCTCTCCCCCCGGCCGTCTTCAGGCAGCCAGCGAAATGGGCAAGTGCGAAATCTGCGAGGGCCACATCCAAGGCGCCCAACAGGTACCTGGAGACTGACAGTGCAGTGACAGCGCAGTGTGTTTCAGTTGTTTTGAAACAGCGGGAGCGTGAAAGCATGTGAAAGTATGTCATGAATCGGCCCTCCTCGTGCTGGCAGGCGGCCAGTAAGAGTCAAAAGGCAGTGGAAGGACCGGCGCGAGTCTTAGCAGAAGTGTGAGCCGCGCGCCATCTTCCTGGCACGTCCAATGGTTTTGAACCTTTTGCTTCAGGGGCTCATAAGGTTCATAACCAAGTGCCTCAGAGCCAACGAAACTCCCGTCCCAAAGTTTGGGGCAGCCATTCGGCCATTCGGGGGCCAAGCGCCCTCCTTGGCGGCCTTTTCCAAGGAGTGGAACCACGAGGCCTCGATGGTTTAGGGTTTAGGGTTTAGGGTTCAGGGTTTAGGGTTTAGGGCCTAGGGTTTAGGGCTTAGGGTTTAGGGTTTAGGGTTTAGGGCTTAGGGCTTAGGGTTTAGGGGACCATCATTGAATCTACCACCAGACACGGATGCCTTCCCCACTGGCTCGCTGCCGAAGATGGAGAAGCCCCGAAGCCCGTCCTCCCAACATGCTTTCACTTACTGTCGGTTAGTAGGGAACCCTATATCCCCCTATATACCCTTTAAGGGATTCTATAGGGTACCTCAGTCTCTCATTCCCTACTAACGGAAAGTTTACAGAGAGATGCTGTTGGACGTCTGGCGAAAGTGAACTTCTGGGAGGTCATGCAGCGGTCCAACCCTAAACCCTAAACCCTCAACCCCAAACCCTAAACCCTAAACCCTAAACCCCAAACCCTAAACCCTAAACCCAGCGGTCCGCGAGAAAAGACCGGCCAAGAAGGAAGTTGGAGGTTGCAGCTAAGGTCTCCGTAGCTGCCGAGGCCAAGGCGCCTTGCACCAAACCTGAGGAGATGCTCATCTAGGGTTTAGGGTTTAGGGTTTAGGGCTTAGGGTTTAGGGTTTAGGGTTTAGGGTATAGGGTTTAGTGCTGTAGGATGCAGACTAAACATGCACGTTTTGAAGCACCGTGCGCGCTGCCTCCAAAGATAATCGGCGCTAGCGTCTTTAGGGCGATTTGGATGGGCAGGAACTCCGTCAGCATGAACCTCAGTTCGAAGCCCAGTGCGATTCGTGTAAAAGCGCCGGCAGAAGGTCCATGGGGGGTTTACGATATTAGGGGCACCTTCTTGGGGTCCTTATTCTACGGGGATCCTTCCACTTGGGGGTCTATAATTGGGGTCCCTATTTTCGTAAACCCCCCCATGAGCACAGGACAAGTTCAGGATCATTTGGTTCCAGGATGCTGAACCCCACCGCACGGCTTTAAACGCTGAGGCCCAGATGAAGTGCACAGCTTGTCTGCCCCAACTCCGAACGAGGGTCAGCAACTGCAATCGTGGCCCTAAACCCCAAACTCCTCAATTAACCCTAAACCCCGAAGTGCCAAACTCTCAATCTCAAGACCAAAGCTTAATCCGCCGTTTTCCGACTCTGCCCGCTTTATATGCCATGCCTATACCATCGGCTGATTTGTACGATTACCTGTCCTTGTCAAGCCGCCACTTCGCAACTCTAAAGACGAAAAGCAGAGAGGAAGCTTGATGATGCTTGTGCTGTTTAGCCAACATCACAACGCAACCCAAGGCTCCTTGTCGAATGCAATGCAGTAGTTACTTGCGAAGCTGTTGTTGAACAAGCTTTGCTTTTGACTTTGGGGCCAGCTTACACGTAATTCGCCCCCAGTTAATGCGTCCTGACTTTCACCGAATTTCTCCAGGTTGTACGTGGCAGGCCGTCGTCTCGTCTACCCTTGATGCTTACCACCTCACCATGCACGAAGCATGCTACGTGCACTAAACCCTAAACCCTAAACCCTAAACCCTAAACCCTAAACCCTAAACCCTAAACCCTAAAACCGGAAGCCAAGATGCAGCTTCTCAGCAACGAAGGCTAGCACGTAAAGCCCCACTTTCGTGGCCGTGTCATAGGCAGCTACGGACTGCAGAACGTTCATCCTCAGGACCATGCGAAGCTTCCGATGGAAAATTGCACAGAAGAACGAGCTGCCTCGGGTTCGGGTAGTGCAAGGTAAGGCCACACATCAGCAGCAACCCCTCTGCTGGGAACAAGGATAGGGTTAGGCTTAGGTCTGTCATTCACGCCTCTTCACGAAGGCAACGTTTGTAATTGCAAGCCCCAGTCTTCGTTGGAGTATCACCATGAGCACACCAGCCTCACCTCGAAATGAAAAAACACATGGCAGCCCGCTGGACGGTGCAACCGAGGCACAAAGATGCTCGATCTGGAACCTTTTTCTGGCATGCAAGAGCGAACTTCGACACCATGTCATGCGCTGCTGTACTTCGACTGACTGCCCCGTCAGGCACTGGAGACTTGTCTGCTGACTCTTGAGGGCTGTTTGGGCTCTAAGGGCAATAAAGATGCTGTGACGAATACCTCTCCTAAGTAGGATATCCTGCTCTACCTGTGTACGCCAGACTTCTGATCAACTATCCCTAGGTTGCGCAAGGCCACCGACATTCCACATCTGGCTACAGTATGCACCATACTTCCTGGCGCGGTATCAGCCAGTTCAGGCGGCGGAATTTACATCACCCAAAAATTGGAGAAGGCGGGTCGATTTTGTATTGCGAACTATGCGACAGGGAAGAAGCACAACTGGGTAAAGCATAGCCCTTCCATGAACACCGAAAGAAACTCACCTGGCTGTCACAGCTGAGATTCGCCCAGGGGCTGCACGGCCTCGAAGCACAGCAAGACCAATAATTTTGCTGGTCTTCGCATAAAATTGATTCTGATGGTTGTGTGAATGTATATGGTTTAAACATTAATTCATCATGCTACGCCGCCTCTGAGCATTTGGGACCGTCCGAGAGTTCTTCTGCTAGGTGCCCTCGCCCTCTCCTTTCATCTCCCTTCATCTCTCTTCATCTCCCTTCATCTCTCTTCATCTCCCTTCATCTCCCTTCATCTCCCTTCATCTCCCATCTCCCTTCATCTCCCTTCATCTCCCTTCATCTCCCTTCATCTCCCTTCATCTCCCTTCATCTCCCTTCATCTCCCTTCATCTCCCTTCATCTCCCTTCATCTCCCTTCATCTCCCTTCATCTCCCCTCATCTCCCTTGATCTCCCTTCATCTCCCTTCATCTCCCTTCATCTCCCTTCATCTCCCTTCATCTTCCTCATCTCCCTTGATCTCCCTTCATCTCCCTTCATCTCCCTTCATCTCCCTTCATCTCCCTTCATCTCCCTTCATCTTCCCTCATCTCCCTTGATCTCCCTTGATCTCCCTTCATCTCCCTTGCTCTCCCTTCATCTCCCTTCATCTTCCCTCATCTCCCTTGATCTCCCTTCATCTCCCATCATCTCCCTTCATCTCCCTTCATCTCCCTTCATCTCCCTTCATCTCCCTTCATCTTCCCTCATCTCCCTTGATCTCCCTTCATCTCCCTTCCTCCGACTCGCTCCCTCGCTCCCTCCCTCCCTCCCTCCCTCCCTCTCTACCTCTCTCTCCCTCTCTCTCGCTCTCTCTCGCTCCTTCTGCTTCTGTTTTGCTCCATGTATTCCACCTCGAAGAACTCATCCAGATTGTCAGCCGCCAGCAGCCGTGGTGCGACCACACGCACCTGAGGCTGCCACTTCGAAACACCCGGGCCCAACCGCACAGCGCTGGGCTGTGCGATCCATGCAGGATGCCCTCCTACAACGGATCATAACTTTGCGAAGGCACAAAGACCGCGAGCAGAGCCAGGTTTGCATAGACCTCGAGGTGGCAGCTCTCTCATACTCTAGCTTGAACGCTACATGCGGTTCTTTCCTTGTGTACGGCTTTCCAGGGTAGCTGCAGGCAAGGCCTTTCAAAGCCCAGGCTGCCGTCAAAGATCAGTCCCAAGGGCCGAGAATCAAAAAATAAAAACAGCTACCAAAAACGGAATGGATTGGGATGTTCCCCCTTATGCTAACAGTCCTTACGGGGGGATTCTAGTACCCCGATTATATAATCTATTAAGGACTGTGAGTATAAGGGGGGAGCATCCCAAGGAATGGGCTCAGCAGGCCGAGGAGCAGCGCTGCTGGAAAGTCCGCGCTTCACGGGCGCCTTGTCGAAGACGCTGGTGAAACGCATCCTCATCAGTGAGAGAGCCGAGGGCTGTGTAGCAGATCGGGAGACCATGAAAGAGTTCACAAAAGTGTGACAAAGGCTCGCCAGTCCTGTAGTATGCGATGGTAACGCCAGGCAGAAGCTCGAGCAGATTGGATAAGTCCTTGCCGTTTCAGCAGGTACTTCTGCAACCAGCTCTCTCAAAATAATCTGGCTGCTGAAGATGACAGACAGGTTGAGCATGCAAAGGAACAAGCAACAGGGATGAATAGATATATAGATATATATGAGTATAATGTATATATATATATATATATATATATATTATGTATAAACATATATATACACATATATATGTATTATATATATAAGGATTATATATAAGTATTATATATATAAGTATTATATTCTATATACAGATTTATGGGCATCCCCATTAGCGGCAAGCCCAAGCCTGTCGGGTGCGGGTCTTCTCCTCACCAGTCTCAGCATTTGCCTTGAGAGCCGTCGCATTCCTGAGTCTTGCGGCATCGGGAACCGAAACATGCTTTAATCTTTAATTAGGGTTTAGGGTTTAGGGTTTAGGGTTTAGGGTTTAGGGTTTAGGGTTTAGGGTTTAGGGTTTAGGGTTTAGGGTTTAGGGTTTAGGGTTTAGGGTTTAGGGTTTAGGGTTTAGGGTTTAGGGTTTAGGGTTTAGGGTTTAGGGTCAGTATTTGTGGGCATCTGGAACCGAAACATGCCTCAATCTTTAAACTGTCGCAGAAGTTTTCTTTCCGCTAGGATAGCAGATTCCGTCAGTCAGAAAAAGGCATGAACACCTAGAACTTTTGCTGTTGCCAGGGAACACCCGCTCCAGCAACTGCGAAAGCTCGAGCGCCTTCGTGCCAAAGCAGGCTAACGTGGCAGGAGCTCTCTTGCAGGGGCTTGTCGCAAGGAATCGTGCCTCGGGTCGCTTGTCCTCTTTCAAGCTTGGAGCGTTCCAGATCTCAAGCGCCTCCAGCGGCGGCAGGGATTCGAAACCGTACGACGGATCCTACAGTACTTCAATATCAATGCATCATGAAGCCAACGATGGCCGACACAAGCATCCTTCAACCCGATGCAACCCTTCGAGTGCGAGCTGACAACAAAAACAGCCATGGCTTGACCACCAAGCGTCATCCCAGAACTCGTACGTCTCGTTCCACCATTTTCCCAGAGCCTGTGCGGGAGGTGGCTTCGGCCATGCTCTGCCAAGTTCCAAGTCCCAAAAGATTGGGTTGAAGCCTTTGAAACTGCCTCAGTGAGCTTGCCTGACGTGTAGCAAGAAGGTTAGATCATGAAGCACTGCAAAATCACAGCTCATGTCGCTAGAACAAAAAACGTCGTATGTTACTTCTGGGCATGAGCGCATGAGGGTAACAAAACCAAGACAGCGCAACTTTGGGACGAAGCCGGGCCTCTCCTGGATTTGGGAGAGTGTCGACACTCTCAGCTGTAGCACGCAGCGCCACTCGCGATGTCCGGGTGCTGACAAGGCCAGTTTAGGGTTTAGGGTTTAGGGTTTAGGGTTTAGGGTTTAGGGTTTAGGGTTTAGGGTTTTGGGTTTTGGGTTTTGGGTTTTGGGTCTACCTAGCTGACATAGCTGCCTAGCTCAACCATCATTCCCGGCCCCACGGCTGGAAAAAAGAAATCGACAAAAAGCAGTCACATTGCACAAGTACGAGTATCTGCAGTCATGTAGAGCATGGCATGCTCCCCTGCGACTCTACTTCATTCTGTCGCCTCTCTTGTCTCTCTTGGCTCCCTCCTTCCCCTTTGCCCCTCCCTGCTCCACCCCGAGGAGTCCGTCGGTTTGTCTGCGTTCGGTGTTTCTCCCTCAGCTCTCCATGGAAGCTCATTGAGGTGCCTCGGCCCAAGCCAAGCCGGTGCAAAGGCCACGAGCGCTGCGGCCGCAATGCGCGCGCAACGGCGCACGCAGCGACGCGCGCATGGGCGCACCATAAGAGAAAGTGTCGCACGGCGGGAACGCCAACGGGTCTTGGACTGGGCTTTTCTGCTTGGACTTTCAGTGCTGGTCTCTCTGCAACGCGCATGGTGAAATTAAGAAGATGATCTGGCGCTCGTAGTCGTCATGGATACTCATGGTATGGTCAGATCCGAGCCAACGGGAAGGAATCCACTGGCCGCTGCGAACTCGTGGGCTTGTTACTTGAAGATCTCAAGAACCCACAACCTTCACGCATGAGCAGAGCAATGTTGAAAGTCGAGTGCGCCGCATCCAGGATGCAGCTGACATAGGGGAGAGGCGTTTACAAAACTCATCAGCGTCACCTTTTACTTTGAGCCAATAATGGAAAACTAACACCCTAACAATAGTAGAATAGGGCCCTTTAGAATAGTACTAATATATGGGCCCTTGGGCCCAATAAGACTTTCTTATCAAGGAGGGTTTCTATTTCTTTTGCCCGTCCAAAAGGACACCAGATACATAACATACACTCACCAATACTAAAAAGGAACCTTATACACACTCACCAAGAACAGAAACATAAACCCTGCTTCATATGGGCCCAAGGGGGCAAGGGGGAAAACCCTAAACCCTAAACCCTAAACCGAAGGGGCAAGGGGGCAAAAAAAATGGCACCCGATAGCTGGCGGCACTTTTCAAGGGTGCCGAGCTCAGGCTGTCTTTCGCCGCCTGACGAATTCCAGGCTTTAGGGTTTAGGGTTTAGGGTTTGGGGTTTGGGGTTTGGGGTTTGGGGTTTGGGGTTTGGGGTTTGGGGTTTGGGGTTTAGGGTTTAGGGTTTAGCGTTTAGACCACCATGAAAACCCCGAAAGATGTCTTTGTTTTGATATTTTTGATATACTAGAACCCCAAATAGTAGGACGTAGGATCCCCTTAGAGTGAGGACCCCAATAGGGTACCCCTGATATCGAAAACGAAACGGAGATGCCGAGATGCATCCTGCCGAACCCGGCCTGTCTAGACCGGATGGAGATGACCTTCTTGGCGCTAGGAAATGGAAATGGCCGTGGGAAGCCTGGCAAGCAACTGAAGGATGTCTCACAGCTGAGATCCGAAACTGGCGGCGTCGTCCGACGCGACATGTGCCAGAGCACGAAAGGAGGAAACCAGCGCCGACCACAATCTTACCGTTGGTTAGCAGGGACTGAGGGAATTAGGGCCATATATGTATATATGTATATAAATGAATAAGGTATATACCCTTTAAGGGATTATATAGGGTACCTCATTCCCCCATTCCCTACTAACCAACAGTAAGCAATTCGGATCACTCAACATCCTGAAAGTTTGTTTGCCTCAGCGGGACTCTCCTGGTGAATCCACTCATCCACACCTGCAAAGAGGCACACTCTCATTCCGCAAGGTCTCTGTCAGCTTGTCCGGGCCATGCCCGCGAAACCGTGACATGGAAAGCAGATAGTCGTCAGACTTGCAAGACCATTGCAGGCTTCGACATGCAGATGAGAAGACCCATCACGCCTTGTGGTGGAGGCGTGAGTTCTGCATCCTTGCCGGCCACGTTGCGAGTAGAAAAGGAAAAATGGACTTTCAGGCGTTCTCTCTATGACGCCACGTTGTGCTTTCTAGCCTCCAGCAGCTATGCAGGAGAGGTTACTGACTGTTTGTATTGCAGGAGAGGCATTAGCCCGCATGGCTGCGGAACTTAACTGCTTCCTATGTCAATGCAAGAAACATACACTTCACCTAAACCCTAAACCCTAAACCCTAAACCCTTAAACCCTAAACCCTAAACCCTAAACATCCAAGTCTGCAGAGGTCCCTTCGGGCAGCTCTCATGGCACCTGCTCGGAGAACTCGGAGCTCTCCACGAGGCTCGGCTGCACAGGGAAGTGGCAATTCACTCTCTCGGCTGAAGGTGAGTGAATGCGGGTTGGTCCCCACGGTCCTAAAGCAAGGTCCCTGAGTCACGAGTCCTTTTGCTCGTAGGCAGGCTTACGACAGAAGGTGCCTCCAAATCGTCGTAGATGTCTTCCGCATTCTCGCAGTGTTCCTCGGATTGTCCCATAAACCCCAAACCCTAAACCCAAAACCCTAAATTCTTGGGCCAGGCGGAAGCTGGATCCCTCCTACTCCTGAGCAACTGCGAGGGCGTTGCTTGGCAAGAGGTTTTAACTTGGGGCCCCGCATGGTCTGGGCTCCCTTGTAAAAAGGGTTTAGGGTTTAGGCTGTTAAAGTTAGGGTTTAGGGTTTTAGAGTTTAGGGTTTAGGGTTTTAGAAACATGCTGTAGTTGCCCGACTACTCAGGGTGTGGGGCCTGTTCGGGGGGTCAGGGCCCTCTCTGGAAGACGAGCTTCTCTGGGAGGGGGCGCTAGTTTGCTAGGATCTTCGGCTTGCTCCTCAAACTCTGCTTCTCAAGCTTCTTAAAGAAGGGCCTTCAGGCTGCAGGTGGAGTACTTTACTCCAGGGCTTCTCCCAGCAAAGAATCCTCAAGGGGCAGCTCCTAATTTCTTGGAATGTGATGTGTCGATGACGGAATATGGGGGGTTTACGAAACTCGGGGACCCGAATATGGACCCCCCAAATAGTAGGATTCCCTTGAAAAAAGGGAAGGACCCCAACAAGGTACCCCCAAATTTCGGAAACCCCGATACTAGGGGATAGGATTAGGGGGACCCTTGGGGATATAGACCCTCTGAATAAGGTCCCTGTTTAAGAGAGCCAGAAGAGGGTTAAGAAGGGATTCCCTTGTAAGGGTCCCCCTTATCCTACCTAGGAGATATAGGACGATGGCAAAGCCGAGCCAAGGCTCCATGACCCGCTTATGCTTGTGCACCTTGGCAGAGGCAGGCCTCGGCAAAGATGTCTCTTCTAGGGTTTAGGGTTTAGGGTTTAGGGTTTAGGGTTTAGGGTTTAGGGTTTAGGGTTTAGGGTTTAGGGTTTAGGGTTTAGGGTTTAGGGTTTAGGGCAAACTGTCTCTTTGAAGAGACAACTGGAGGCTGCTGACCACATCACACCATAGTTGGGGGTTTCCGAACTTAGGGGTACATTCTTGGGGTCCTTAATATAAGGGGATCCTCCCCATGTCACCTTTGAGCATGCATGCAGATAGGCACCTCCTTGCGCGGTGGTGCCTCACCTGCCACGCAACGACCATGTGTGGGATGTGATATTTAAAGCATCCCAAAGACAGTGCGCAGCCATCCTTGCTTCTGCAGCTTTAGGGTTTAGGGTTTAGGGTGTAGGGTTTAGGGTTTAGGGCCTTAGGGAAAGAAGGCACTCCGCCTCTCTCCATGTGGCCATAGCACTTCCCCTCGCCTCGGGGGGCACGTTGACGGGACGCTCAGTCTCCGGAGCCTGCTCAGGGAGAGTGCCCCTAAAGCCTAAACCCTAAACCCTAAACCCTAAACCCTAAGAGTGCGACTCCTGATCTGCCAAACATCTGCCTTGCCTGTGCCTCCGCAGAGAAGCTGGGAGCGCTCTCACGATCCATGTGAGCACCCTGGAAGCATGCAGGCTTTTGATGCAGTCATGCAAGATGTCAAGGGCTCTCTGCTGACCATCCGGGCGCCGCAAGAAACGTGTAGCACTCAACTCCTGTGCAGTCCTCAACATCCTCGTAGATGTCCTCTTCCGGCTCCTGAGCAGTCAGACTCAGACGACAGCAACAGGAGACCTGATTCACAGGGCCAGAGCAGTCTACCGGTGTGCGCAGTACGCACGGACAGTGTGTGGAGGGCTGCAGGAGCCCGATTTCTTGGCTTGCATCTGCTCTAACCCTGCTTTACTTGTTGTAGAGGGACTCAAATGGCACCAAGAGCATAGTCATGGAAAAAGTTGACTTTTCAACCTTTCATGTGCTCTGGCAGGCGAGCAGCGGCCACTCGCTTGTGCTTGGAGATCTTGGCCGATGCCGGCCTTCGCACCAGACGGTCCAAGATGCAAGGGTTTAGGGTTTAGGGTTTAGGGTTTAGGGTTTAGGGTTTAGGGTTTAGGGTTTAGGGTTAGGGTTTAGGGTTTAGGGTTTAGGGTTTAGGGTTTAGGGTTTAGGGTTTAGGGTTTAGGGTTTAGGGTTTAGGGTTTAGGGTTTAGGGTTTAGATGTCAAAACCCGGTCTCAAAGATTCGGCAAAGACGGACAAGTTGAGCGTGGAAACTCCCGCGGACTCCCTTCTCCAGCGTCGTACCGACTGACCAGTACCCGAAGACTCACAACTTAAGCCCCTATGGTCAGGGCCGCTGAGCTCCCTTTGCTGGACCTTGCCATTGACAGCCCCATGTCAAGCCCGGCCTTCGAGCCCGCTGAGCCGGAGCCTGGGGGTGCACTCCGTGCACGGCTGCCGCGGCTGTCTGAGGTTCCTGAGTTGCCCGAGATGCCTGAGTTGCCCGAGGCTGAAGATGCGGCGCTGCGTGTGCAGCAGGCTGCACCTTCCGGGATGTGCGCGTGCGAGTGTGAGTGTGAGTGAGAGTGAGAGTGTGAGTGTGAGTGTGAGCGTGTGCGTGTGCGTGTGCGCGTGCGCGCGCGGGCGTGCGCGCGGGCGTGCGTGCGTGCGTGCGTGCGTGCGTGCGTGCGTGCGTGCGTGCGTGCGTGCGTGCGTGCGTGCGTGCGTGCGTGCGTGCGTGCGTGCGTGCGTGCGTGCGTGCGTGCGTGCGTGCGTGCGTGCGTGCGTGCGTGCGTGCGTGCGTGCGTGCGTGCGTGCGTGCGTGCGTGTGTGTGTGTGTGTGTGTGTGTGTGTGTCTCTCGAGCCTTGGGTCCCGACAACAGTGAACCGGAACGCGATAATATAAAGCCAGCATGATCGCAGAGCTCGCAGCAAGGAACCTGCCTGTGCTTTCATCTTTGCTTCCGCCTGCTCGGCGTTTTTCGCCGTGCTGGGCGCAATGCGATGATAAGGAAGGTTTGCCTGGATCAAGGCAGGCAAAAAGCGGAAGACGCCACCGCGCTGGCCAGGCCTTCTCACGCTCTTCCAAGGGGTGTCGGAGGCGAAGGCCTGTGCTCAGCAAGGTGAAGAGAAAAAGAGAAAATCGGCCTTCTGACTCAAGGATGCTAAAAACGCCCTTCAGAGCTTCTGCCTCCGGTTGGCAGGGGACAGCGGTAGCTTGGCCTGCGCGTTCAGGCAAAGCTTCGTTCACTGCTTCATTTGCTGCCCTCAGCAGTGATGGCTGAGCCCACAGCCGCTCACTGTCGTTGAAGAAAGAGCCCTGTGGCCCAAGAGGCACGTCTGATTGAGCCATGGGGTGAGGGCCAGTTCCAATCTTGCAAGATGTAGCATATTATGGCAAACAGGAACCAGGACACAACTACCCGTTTACGTGCCCGTCATGGACCCGGCCATAGGCTGCCCGTTATCTGAATCATGCCTCCGGGGATGCATCTGACATGCTCCATCCTTAGCGGAATATGGGGAAGAGAGAGAGAGAGAGAGAGATAGAGAGAGAGAGAGAGGGTGAGAGTGAGAGAGAGAGAGAGAGAGAGAATGAGAATGGTGGGGGGGGGGGGGCATTTTCACGCGCCCTCCGAGAAGTTCTCCAAAGACTATCTGATAAAGCCCCTAAACCCTAACCCTATACACCCTATACACCCTAAACCCTAAACTTTTGCTGACTCAGCGGCTTGGAACAGGACCAGACGAACTCGAGCGAGCGGAACGAACTGCACCTTAGGAGTCTCTCAGGATTGCCCCACATTCTGTTCTCAACTCGATGTTAAAGGTCTGACAAGTTTAGGGTTTAGGGTTTAGGGTTTAGGGTTTAGGGTTTAGGGTTTAGGGTTTAGGGTTTAGGGTCGGTTTAGGGTTTACGGTCTAGGGTCTAGGGTTTAGGGTTTAGGGTAGCCATCTGAAGCCACTGAAGGCCCTGGCTCCGCGACGCGGAGGAAGGCCTGGCCAAGCCGATTGGCAAGCCAGATGCTGGCCACGCGCGGTTCCAGCAAAGTCAGTTGAAGCTTACTTCGCGCTTTTCTGTCGTTTGCTTACTTCATGCAACTTAGAACCATGACAGAATGTGCTCTTTTGCTTCATTCATGTAACTTAGAACCATGACAGACTTTGACAGACTTCCCACCCCCGTTGCCTTGCGGAGGACGGCCGAGCCCCTGAGGAGCCTTGGGCGCCTTCGTTGCTTTTCAACCGAGCGAACAAGGTGCCAAGCGTGCAGTCTCTCATTTACAGATGCAGCTCAGATGCGACATACTGTCATGCTACATATGTGGGCTGGACCCATTCTATTTCACGGCAAGCTTTGGTTTAGCCCGCAACCCTGATCTTAGTGAAGGTTCACTACTTTCTTGTTGTCTCATCCTCTGCCTCTCTCTCTCTCTCGCTCTCTCCCTCTCCCTGTGCAGCATGTTGCGACACGGGTGCATCTCAGCAACTGGGAGACAAGTCCAGCACGAATCTGGGTACATGTTACTACATGCTGGCGCAAACTGCGCATCTTAATCGCCTGCCTCGGCGGGCACTGCTGCGAGGCTTCGGCGCATAGGCCGGGTAGCCCTCAGACCCAAGGCGACGCAAGGCGAGGGATACAAGGGTTACATTGACGCAGTCTCGGCTGTGGCGTCCATAAGATCGTAGCACGGCAGCGTGGCTCTACCATGCCCTACCTCTACCCGAAGGAAGTTTCCAGACAATCAGAACGCCCTGTGAACCCCTAAACCCTAACCCCTAAACATCCCTAAACCCTAAACCCTAAACCCTAAACACATCATCCCTCGTCCCTTGCCCTCACTTGCCTTCCCAACTGCCCGGCTGGGTTGCGAGTAGGAGCTGGAGGAAGCCTTGACAGCAAAGTTGGAAAGGCTTGAACCGTTCATGCTGGGATGTTCCCCCTTACACTAACAGCCCGTAAGGGGGTAGGGGGGTACTCTGATCCCTATGAAGGACTTGTTAGTATAAGGGTGAACATCCCAGCGTTCACGTTCATGCTACCTGTATGTTCCAGCAAAAACTCTGCGCCAACTCCAATTGCGGCGGGTCGCCACAGACTTCGGCACCAACAGCTTGTCACGAATCCATTCCTCCATATCCACTTGGGGTTTAGGGCTTAGGGCTTAGGGCTTAGGGTTTAGGGTTTAGGGTTTAGGGTTTGGGGTTTAGGGTTTAGGGTTTCAGGGATGGCCCGCATTGGCACCCATTGCACAAACATTCCATGTCAGTGCAACTCCCTGAATGTCTACCAACTGGCACTGAACATCCCTGCACGAGTCTCCTTGGACAAAGGCTCAGCGCTTGAATGCGGGGACGCCTGAGCCAGATTGCCGCTGCACATCTGCATCACATGAAACAGGTGGCTGGAGCTCTACATTCGAAGTGCCTTGTAGGACAGGATCTCGATCAATTCCTTGCAAAAGAGGGTAAACCTAAACCCTAAACCCCAAACCCCAAACCCCAAACCCTAAACCCAAACTCTAAACCCTAAACCCTCAACCCTAAACCCTAATTAAGCCCTAAACCCTAAACCCTAAATCCTAAACCTAAACCCTAAACCCTAAACCCTAAACCCTAAACCCTGAACCCTGAACCCTGAACCCTGAACCCTGAACCCTAAACCACCCTAACCCTAAACCCTAAACCCTAAAACCCAAGGGCTAAGCTTAAAGGGTCCTCCCTACGTGGCCTTGTCGGGCACCGGCGGAAGCGGTGGGATGGCAGAAGGGACCTGTGTGGCTTTGGGCTTCCGCAGAGTAGGAGTTAGGGTTTAGGGTTAAGGGTTAAGGGTTAAGGGTTAAGGGTTAAGGGTTTAGGGTTTAGGGTTTAGGGTTTAGGGTGAGGGTGTAGGGTTTAGGGTTTAGGGTAACTTGGAATGTCCTCGCGCGCACCTGCAACTGGAGCTGCCCAATGCCATCGAGCTCGAAGTAGGAGGCGTCCAGAAGGCATAGAAGGAACCTTGCAACCGGTTACCCATTGCGCCCACTGCAGTTGCTATCGCGTTTAGAGACAGACATTTAAGTAAATCATAGCCACGCGCAGGCTTGCTTGCATCTCCGAAACCACACTGCCGACCGTATCGGCAACGCCTAGACGCACAAGAACCATTATGCTCGAACGGCCGATCGGCATCGATCGGCATCGATCGGCACTCTTCAGACATAAGATTTGCTCATGATTCATGAGCATGATTGGTTCATGGCGAGGAGCGTCGCTTCAAACATTTTGGCTGCAGAGCGCTGCCGCTCCCATCTCGTCAACCGATACTGCTAATGTGACACAGCACACTTTCCACATGTCCATCCTCAATCGAGTGCACCTCCACCCATGGGGCCCCTGCACCCTCAGTGCGTCGGCATCGGCCAGCGACGCCTGGCGACTCCTTGTGAAGAAGCAATCCCTGACCTTCTCCCACAGTTCCCTTCGCCAGCATGCCCCCGTGTGTCCCCATCTCACTCAGACCCCAGCCGCGACAAGCGCTGCCACCAGCTGTCGAACATGACCTGGCCGACTGTCCGGACAAGGCCCTTCTCTGCCCCATGGGCATGTTTAGGGTTAGGGTTTAGGGTTTAGGGTTTAGGGTTTAGGGTTTAGGGTTTAGGGTTTAGGGTTTAGGGTTTAGGGTTTAGGGTTTAGGGTTTAGGGTTTAGGGTTTAGGGTTTAGGGTTTAGGGTTTAGGGTTTAGGGGTTAGGTTTTAGGGTTTAGGGTTTAGGGTTTAGGGTTTAGGGTTTAGGGTTTAGGGTTTAGGGTTTAGGGTTTAGGGTTTAGGGTTTAGGGTTTAGGGTTTAGGGTTTAGGGTTTAGGGTTTAGGGTTTAGGGTTAGGGTTTAGGGTTTAGGGGTTTCGGGTAAGATCCAAAAGCTGGAATACCTAACCCCCCGTAGCCGACATGGGTCCGGGAGCAGGCGTGCATCAGGACCAGGGGGCATTTAAGACCGACCATCGGAGCCGGACACCAAATTCCCACCCACCCCCCCAACCGGGCTTGTTGTTTCTGGTTTTGCCACTCCCACATTTGGGGGTTCGTGTTTTGCCACTCCCACACAGCAGGCTTCACTCCCGCGATCTCCGGCTCGGGTCGCATACCGTTAAAACTATTTCGTAGCTTGGGTGGGTGCTCTCTCTCTCTCTCTCTCTCTCTCTGTCTGTCTGTGTCTCTCTTTATGGACAGCGCCGGAGGAAAGTGCCCGCGCTTGCATGCGCTGTGTATGCAGGACGATGCAGGACGCCAATGCTTGGCTGCTCCTGAGATTTCGATGCACAATGCTTTAGACGCACAGCGCAACCCTAAACCATAAACCCTAAACAGTCATGCTGTAGATGTACATGTTGCACAACTTCCTGGGCAGGGACCCCAGCATAGTTCACACCTCGACTGTTAAACGAGGCTGCATAGACATGTGGGCGGTTGTCCAAATTATGGTCCCTTTTGGGGTACCGTAAATATTAGGTGCCGTCGTATAATAGGGATCCAAAAAGGGACCATAATTTGACAACCATGTAGGCGTGCGATTTTCCTTTTGCACGATGTATGAGAGATGTCTGGGAGCAAAAGCTCCGGTCTGGTGACGCTGAGCTGTGCGTCATCGGTCACCTAACGCAAGTACTGCGCAAACTGGGCCTCTCTAAGAGCGTCTTGGAGATGTTGACGGCCCTTCGGCCCTTGGGGGGTGCAAGAAGTTGAAGAGTAGTTGAATTCAAGGACGGGCCGGGCCGGCAAAAGCTCAAGATCACGCAAGCATTTTGCTGTTGAACTCGAGAGGAACGGAGCATGAGTAACCAGTGTATCATACCTGGTGTAATTTCTATACACACGTGCAGGACGTGCAGGGTGATGAAGCAACTGCCGGAGAGGCTGCCTTTTTCTGTGGCAGTCATACGAACAAAGGGCACTTCAGGAAGACATCCCTGTAGAGATCTCCGGACGTCTATGGGTCTAAGGACTCTAGAGTAGAGAGGCTGTGCGTGGGCCAAGCTTGCAACAACATTTAGCTTCAGAGCTACTTGGCTGCACTCAGGAGGGTAGCTATAAATTAAACTTCTAGCTGCCTTCATAAGAAACCCAATAAACCCAAAAAAGGTAAGGATCTAAAGTTACAGCAAAGTACCACAAAGGCTAGGGCCACCTCCACTACTGCTTCTACCAACACGACCCCCCTTGAACGATCGTATCAGCACTCGTCGTCTTGTTGGTGTGCGTCTTCTTATGTACCCCAAACCCTAAACCCTAAACCCTAGACCCTAAACCCTAAACCCTAAACCCCAAACCCCAAACCCTAAACCCGAAACCCCAAACCCTAAACCCTAAACCCTAAACCCTGTACTGTAGGAGCTTGTTCGCACTTGCAGCTGGCTGGTGTGGCCTTTGCTCTCATTGCTCGCACCACTACTTCCCGGAACATGCATAGAAACTCATTGGGGCCAGCACCAAAGAACAGAATGGACAAGTCTGCCGGTTGTAACCCTCAACCCTAAACCCTGAACCCCTAAACCCTGAACCCTAAGTGACGGCATCTCCTCTTGCGACCTGCAAGACTGCCGCTGTTGGCGGCTTTGCAGCGCAGCTTGGGCAGCATGGTTGCTCCAAAACAAATGCTGCCAAAGCCAACTGGTCACAGCGGATCTACTATAGTAGCTATACTCCCCTTGGAAGCTTAATAGAAATTATATCTTACTTAATATCCTCTTGGGTTTGATTATGAACAAAAGTTTTAAAATAATTCCCCCAAGAAGGGGGATGTAGATAAAGCAGACTGAGAACATTCGAAGGCTTCCATGCGAACGGCACCGACCATGACTGTTGACTCTGACACAAAAACTCCCGAATTAATGCAGCTTGGACATTGGAAGCTGGTCAAGTCAAAACTCGAGCATCTGTAGCCCTCTTGAAACCTTGCAAAAGCAATCTGCCCAGCTGCCTCCTGTCCTTGCTGGTTAATAAAGGCTGGGTGACGAACAGATCTAACACCGTGTTCTTGAATAGCTGGAGACAGCTACTTCCAGCTGCTGACGTGTCTCTCTCAGCACGCACCAACATGCGCACAAGCAGATACCTGGGAGGTGCTCTGCAACACTCCGCGCGATGGCACCTTCAGTGAAGACGACAGCTCGGGTTCAACTTGGCAGTGAACGGCGCGGGGATCTGTGCGAAAGCTTGAATGATTTAGGGCTCAGGGTTCAGGGTTCAGGGTTCAGGGTTCAGGGTTCAGGGTTCAGGGTTCAGGGTTTAGGGTTTAGGGTTTAGGGTTTAGGGTTTAGGGTTTAGGGTTTAGGGTTTAGGGTTTAGGGTTTAGGGTTTGTTCCGGAAGTTCTAGCCTGTGCTGCTCCTTACGCCGCAGACCGCCAAGTCTATGCAAATCACTTGGCGTGCTCTGCACAGGTGCGCTCCCTGACGATACGTGCCACTTGACAAGGATATGGCTCTTCGAAGTCAGCAACCTGCACAAAGTCTGCACATAGCTTTCACCATCATCGACTGCGGTACTCCGGATTTAAATAAGTTTTGCTCAGATCTGCAGCTAACCTCAGGCAACAGGGGGGCGGCACAGCCGAATCAGCTATCCCCAAAGCATCAAGCGACACGCCGCGCTTCGTGTGACCCTACATCAAGACATGTGCCGGCTAAATCGCAGTCCCGGAGCAGATCCTTAAACCCACCGTCAGTCTCAGACGACCGGTGTGGCAGAAAGAGTTGCGGCCGCACGTTGGCATTCGGCTCGAAAATGAAGTCCTCAGTTCGGTCTTGCTCACATGAGGGTTTTGCTCACATAGGGGTACCCCTACTTTGGGTGTTCCCTTGAAGGGGGTTCTATTCTTTTTGGGGTATGAAAGGGGTACCCCTATTTTGGGAAATACCCAAATTTGCTCAGGGTTCAGGATGGCAAGGGGCTCATCGACGTGCAGCCCAGGTGCGAGATCACTGTACTGGCGCATGAAATTCTTCCAGCCCTGCCAACTCGAGCATCGGAGGCAAAGGCTTAGAGAAACAGCCATGAATTGCGGAGCCTCTACTTTTCTACCTGATGTTGAGCAATGGCAGGTCCTGAATCCGAGCGAAGTGCAGATGCAGCTGCCGGTTCGAGCGCGCCGTGCCCAACAGTTCGCCCAACCGTGGTAGTCGTCCTCAAGTAGGCACATCCGAATACGCGATGCGACATTTTCTGTCCACTCTTCATACTCCCCCCCTCCCGAAGCACTGTCACGTTGATTCTGTCGCTGCTGAATAGCAATCAGTGCATGTGCTGGTCACTAAGCCATAGGCGCAAGAGAGCGATGACATCCTGCGGTGACGAAACCTCTAGGAAGACCTGAGACAGCTGCAAACAGGTGCGGCCAGAAGGATGTCATGAACGAGCACACTTATTATCCATGAACCCCCTATATCATTAAGAGGTCCTTGAAATAGTTTCTTTGTATGCTTGCAAACGCAAAAGTGAAAAGAGAAGTGAACAGAAGTGTGAAAAGGGGGGGGGGGGGCGGCGCGGGGTAGGTAATCCGCTGAATCATCTCCCGCCTTTGTCCCCTCAACCGGGGAATATCAACAACTTTGCAGAGGTCTTAGTGACCCTGGAACCTTTTCAAAGTTTCTATCGAGCTCATTGGACCCTGAGAACCCTGGTGATCCGGTACGGACCTCGACATTTTGGAACACTATAGGGACTTGCAGGAACCCCTGCTTTAAGGACCCCGCTACGGACTCGCGCCCCTACATATTACCCGCCTTCGCAGGGGCGTCAATGATTTGTCGTTGAAAGTGTGAAGGGGGGGGGGGCCAAAGAGCCCAATACCCTTAATTAAGGGATATTCCTTAAATCATCATCAGGATCCCTTTATAGTTTAATCTATATTCCTTAATTAAGGGGTATTGGGTCATAGGGGTGATTAGAGGTGTCTGGCTTGAGCAGCAGCCTTCACGCTTCTGTACATTGCGCAGCTGTTGCAAAAGGAATGTTTCCCTCCAAGCGCAGCGAACCATTCAAACGGCGAGCGGAATGAGCCCATTGCGTTCCCCAACGACTCGGTGTGGGGCGTTTAGACTGCAAGTCAATCATGCTGCTCGCCTCGCCACCTTTTCCCGCCCCGTCTCCTGGGCCCGATCCCTAGAGTATCCCAGGAGAGGAATGCAACTCTTCAGCCCGCAAAGAGTACCGCAAAGTATCCTTGGAGTCCCCAGAGAAGCCCAGCCGTTTCTCTATGGCGTGTGCGCAAGAAAGCCAGCAAAGGGAGACACGTCGAGTATCCTTGGAGTACCCACCCCCACCACAGAGAAGACCAGAGAGAGTCCCGCCGAGTGTCCCTGGAGTCTCAGAGAATTCCGGGTAGAGTCCCGCGACAGAAGCCTGCGGCGAAGTATCCGTGGTCCGTGGCTACTCGTCTACAAAAGGGCGGCAAGATGGCTCCCACATCAGGCAAATCGAAGTAAATCATTTTCTTCTTGCGGGCTTCTCAGGGGGTGGGTACTCCAAGGATACTCGAGCGGCATTCTCTGCTTAGGGGGATACTCGGCCGGACTTCGTCCACTTCTTAGGGGCCGCCGGACGCCCAAGACTCAACTCCTTTGCCACCCTGTCTGTGGTTTTTGGCCTGACTTTGACTTGGGATGACTTGTTCTGCCCTGCTGCCGAGGCAGGGGAGGGACAAAGCCAAATGAAAGCTTCCTGGTTTAGCACTCAGGCACATATCCAAAATGGCGCTTGCGACTCTTGTCGATGGGCATGTAGAAGAATCGCAGTCTCGCAGGATCCGGCAATGCAGCTGAGGCGGGGGAGGGAAGTTTGTTGCGTGCTCGCCTGGGTTCATCACTAACTGAATTGCCATAGCACATGAAGGGTCGTGCCGCTGCGCCTGTGCAACAGGTCTATCTCGCGCAGCTTCTCCAGCAAGAGGACGGACTGAGTACACACAGGGACAGAGGAGGGATGCAAAGAGGAGGGAGGGGGAGGAGAGGGAGAGGGAGGCGGGGGAAAGGGAGAGGGACGTGGGAGAGGCGGAGAAAGGAAGGTGAGGCATGGAGATAGAGTCAGACAAAGAAAAAAAAAGAGAGAACGAAGGGGAACCATGAAAACAACAGACAATGCCAGTTGAATGACACTCGCAGAGTTGAAGGCTTCCTTCCTGCAGCCGGGGGGCGTCGCAGTTTTTTGACACCTGTCCAATCATCAACGAACATCGCGTCTCCTTCATAAAGGAGAGGTCACTGCGCTTCAGAGTCACGCGCTGGCGATTGCCACACCAATAGCAACGTACTGCCTAAAGTCACCCGATTGCCTGGCCATTGAGAAGTCGTTCCTCATCAATTTCCAAGTTGTTTCGCACTGCCTGACACTGACAATATCAGGGCCAGTTGCATCAATGACCCCTCTGGGAAAACCTAAAACTAACATATTATAGTAATAGTAACAATAACAATAACAATAACAGTAACAATAACAATCAAAATAAGAAGAAGAAATGATAACCGCATGCACCCCTCCTGCGAGTCCGACGCGCATTCCAGGGTATGCCCAGGCTCCCTGGACCCCATGGGCTCCCGAAGAACGGAACCTTGATGAGAGTCTTTGCATCGTATTCGTGCAACCCTAAACCCTAAACCCTAAACCCTAAACCCTAAACCCTAAACCCTAAACCCTGAACCGTCAGGCATCTTTGATAACCGCAAGTCTTGCTCTTAACTGGTACAAAACGAAAGGCCGGTGAATCATGTCTTCAGCTGCTGGCATGGCGGGACGGGCAAGGCACGGATCCCCTCACTGGCACTTTGGAGTTCTTGTACAGAAGATGCTCAACCCTACATGAAACACATCGAGATGCCCTAAAGCCCAGAAACGTGGCACGCCATTGGCGTCCTCAACAACCGGTGTCGGCCTGCGCCGGACTGTGTCAGGAGTTGAAAATGCTTTAGACAAGCGCGCTAGACCATTACAATTAGGAGTGTGCTAGATTACAGTAGGAGATACACTACAAAGGGCGTGGGACTTGCAGCGCAGTCCCTCGTCTAGCATGTGTTTGCTGCTGAAAATGCACCCACCACTCATGCTTTGCCTGTCAACCAGATCTCCTGGGATTCTGGGAGAAGGGTTCATCATGGTTCATCGCATTCATTGTGAGCATCGTCTGTTTTATGGCGCGACGGCTCGCAGGAGAAATGTCGTCGTAAGTGTTGACCGTATTCACGCGATGTTGTTTGGCAGTCGAGACCTGCTTGTGAAAAGGGATTCCTTCGATGAACCACTTGCCTGCAGTGTCCGTAGGCATGATTAGATCAAAGCTTGTCTGTGGTCATAGCCAGCCAGCAGTCTCCAGGTTCAATCCCGGCTTTGGAAGCTGGCAAGATGTGGGAAAGACACGAGTGGCGAAGGTGTTGAAGCTAGAGTCAGGGAAAAACGGTCCTGCATGTTCGCATCGGTGAAAGCACAGCACCGGAGTGGGAACTGCATACACAACACTTGGGCAACTTGTAAGAAGAACAAGCATGGAGAAGAACGGGGAATGATCATGCACGTACCCTAAACCCTAAACCTTAACCCTAAACCCTAAACCCTAAACCTAACTCTAAACCCTAAACCCCTCTAGAGACTCAGCCATTGGTTGGCAAGCAGCCCGCTACTGCTAAACCGCCGCCCAGCATCGCTAAGCAGTTACACCTCCGTTCCCTCCTTCAGCTTTTTTGGTTTAGGGTTTAGGGTTTAGGGTTTAGGGTTTTGGGTTTAGGGTTTAGGGCGGTCAGCACTAGCTCCGTTGTCAAACACGTCCTACAGAAAGCCTACATTGCCCACTTGACTAATCCACAGGTCATAAAGACATGTGAATCCCCGCCCTGAAGCTACCTGATGGGGGAGCCATCTTCTGTCGCGGGACTGTCCATGGGTTTCTCGGCAGGTGGGCACTCCAGGGATACTTGGTGGAGGCTTCTCTAACGGTGGGCACTCCACACCAAGATACGTGGCGGGACTCTCTGCGGGAATCTCTGCGAATGGGCACTCCAGGGATACTCGACAGGATTCTCTGCGACCTTCTCTGGGGGCACTCCAGCGGGACCCGGCCGTGCCTGAGGCTTTAGGGCTCTTGGAAGGAGGCGTTCATTGAAGGTGCGCCCTGGTTGGTTCGCAAAACGGGTGAAGCTTCTGAAGCTCTGAAGCTCGTAAGCTGCGGTTGAAGCTTGAAGCCCAAAGCCTAAGGATGCCTAAGGCTCCGAGCTTGACTTTTTTCAAGCCTGACGTCTGAAGCTCGCGAGCATCAGCTTTGAAGCTTGAAGCCTGAAGCGCGTGACCTTCGCGAGCTTCACGGGCTTCGAGAGCTTCGCAAGCTCCGCGAGCGTTGCTTGAAGCCTGAAGCTCGTGAACTTCGCTTTTGAAACCTGACGTCTGAAGCTCGTGAGAAACACTTTTGAAGCTTGAAGTGTCAAGCTTGAAGCCTGAAATCTGAAGCTCGTGCTTTGGCCTGTGTTAGCCGCGGTTTCGAAGGCTGGAGCTTGAAGCTCGTGAGCTTCACTCTTCGCGCTTCACAAAGGAAGCTTAGATGACCGACGCCTCGTACGCAAGCCAAAAGATCGCCCTGAAGAGGAGAGGAGAACAGAGGGAGCACACTGACAAATGACAACTTCTCGTGGAAGCACCTCCAGAGGCTTCCATGGCGCAAGTATTCTCGAAGAGCATGAGCTGCCCCAACTTCGAAAAAGCGGACACGGACGCTTCCTGCGTTCGATGGCTTGGATGCCCAAGAACAGCGGACATGAGACATCACCGCAACCGTTCGGGCCCTGCCTGCGTTGCGGAGGCGCGTAAGGTCAAGCTGCGCGACCTCGCCAAACATCCCGAAGGCTCTTCCGCAGTCCTGCGAGCACATTTTCGAGGCTCGAAGGGCAAGGAAACCCTAAACCCGAAACCCTAGACCCTAAACAGTAGTTGATACCAAGCTCTGTGCCCATCCTCTAGTCTCTAGGCGAAACAGGAGAGCAGTGGAATTGGTCGGTCCTCCATCGTCACTTGTCTAGCCAGGGCAGGTGTGAGCTGAAGCGTCACATCGGAGGCGCCTGCCGGGCCTTATAATCTCCCTCACCAACCCTATAAAGGGCATGTTTGAGAGGGTACAGGGTAGAAAAAAACCCATGCAGGTAGGGAGGATCTCCTTTCGTTCTCTTTGCTTGTTTCTCGCTCCGTAGACAAAGTATTTAGTTCCTTGCTTCTTTGTTTTCGTTCGCTGATTTAACTCTTTATTGACTTCTACCTTTATGTCGCTATTGATGTATTTGTTTAGTTCTTTCGCTAGATCTTTATGTTTTCTGAGTTCTTCTTTCTTCCATTACTTCTTGCTGCACTTTACCTGTTTTCTCCCTCTCTCTCTCGATCTCACTTCTCTCACCCCTGAAACACCCATGCGCGCAATCTGATATCGTTGATGGTATGCGGCATGCCGTTCAACGTGGCATACCATGCGGCAACTCAGACGTCACAACACACCATCACTTCAGCAAGGCGCAACAAGGAAACCCTCAACCCTAAACCCTAAACCCTAAACCCTAAACCCTAAACCCTAAACCCAAGGGTGCAGCAAGGTGAAAGGGATTCGCCTCGCTCCCGCTGTGAGGTGCTGCCAACATGACCGTGTCTCTCCATGAAACCATGGGCTATGCTGATCGGATGCCAAGTACTGCCTACGACGCAAGGTGCTCTAGCTCTGGCGACTATCAGGCGACTGTCATGAGGGTTTAGGGTTTAGGGTTTAGGGCTACTATCATATGGAATGGGTACATGCCCTTGATATTTAATATATGTAGTATGCACGCAATCTCAATGGGCCTTGTATTGAGGGGCAGGCTGTTTTTGCAAATGCTGACAGAACCAACATTTTCCTTGCATATCGCCGCGGCTGATGAGAGGAGGCCTTACAGAAACGCCCTACAGCGAAGTTAGAAAAGTGACGAGTCTTCATCAGAAGGCCGTAATGCCAGCTCTTGGGCAATAGATGGCAATAGCAACTCCTCCCTCATCAGCAGCGTGTTCATGGATCAATTGCCTGAATCTATCCAGGCGGTGAGACCACTGAAATTGAAGCCGAGAATTTGGCGGCAAAAGCGGCAAAGCAAGTGCAAGTGCTTGGAAAAGCAGCTTGGACATGTGTGGCTTGATGTTTGCTTGTTGCTTCTCACCTCGCATGCCCAGCATGCCCTTAGACCCTTCGCCTCAGCCAAACAGAAAGCCCCGGGAGCGGTATCTGCATGGAGAAAGCGAAGAGCCACCTGAATGTCCATGTCGGAGAACTCCACCTGAACCGCCCGGGCTGCCAAAAAAGCTCGAGGCACCCTTCTTGGGGGCTTGTACCTTATCAGGGTCCTTACTTGAAGGGGATCCTACTGCTTGAAGTTCTGCATTCGGGGTCCCTTATTATCGTACATCACTCTGTGGCATGCTCTGAACCCCTAAACCCTAAACCCTAAACCCTAAACCCCTGATGCCCTCTGAGTCACCCTCTGAGTCTCTGGCCACGCTTCGCACGAAGCTGGTTGTGTCCATGGCATGCACTCGGGCGCCGCCACGGAAGGGGACATCCTGGAGTTGGGGTTTAGGGTTTAGGGTTTAGGGTTTAGGGTTTCGGGTATAGGGTTTAGGGTTTAGGGTTTAGGGTTTGGGGTTTAGGGTTTAGGGTTTAGGATTTAGGGCTGAGGGTTTAGGATTTAGGGTTTAGGGTTGAGGTTTTAGGGTTTAGGGTGTAGGGTTCTTCAGATCCTTCAGCTATTCCTGTTGGCCAGACCTGGGTAGTATGATTCGTGATACGCAACATGCTGCAGTATCATGTACCCTAAACCCTAAACCCTAAACCCTAAACCGCATGTATGTATGATCAGGCATGTTCATCCCCGAAGCTTGGTCTTCATCTTCTCAGGAAGCCTGCTCCCTTGCCTACCCTAAACCCTAAACCCTAAACCCTAATCCCTAATCCCTAAAGATGAGTAGACTTGAGGTATGAGCACATAATATGGGTACTTCACCGACATAGGGGCACCCTTTAAACCCCAAATAGAAACAAATCCCCTTTAAACAGCGCCCCCAAAAGGGTACCCCGATTGTCGGAAAGCCCCCATATATGGGCAGTTTAGATGTGGGGGCTTCCGAAATTGACAATTAGGGTACCTTCTTGGGGCAGCCCTTGCTATATGGGAGTCCCTACCATTTGGGGGCCTTTGTTGGGGGTCCCATCTTACCCTAAACCCTAAACCCTAAACCCTATTTTCATAAACCCTCATGTGCCTCAACCCAGAGCCGCAGCAGACGATCCCCGAGACGCCGCTTGCGCTCCACGACCACCTCCGAGGGGCCCACGACCTTTTCACACGCAGCTGCAAAATGCAGGCGCAATGAAGATCGGGGTAGGGTTTGGGGTTTGGGGTTTGGGGTTTAGGGTTTGGGGTTTGGGGTTTGGGGTTTGGGGTTTGGGGTTTGGGGTTTGGGGTTTGGGGTTTTAGGGTGTAGGGTTTCAGGTTTAGGGTGTAGGGTTTAGGGTGTAAGGTTGAACCTGATTCCCCATCCTGACACCACCAGAATTGCAAAGGCACTCCTGGATTGTTTTCATCCCTTGTGGCCCTAAACCCTAAACCCTAAACCCTAAACCCTAAACCCTAAACCCTAGGTCTCGACTCGGATGCTTCTTGGACGCGTCTTAGGTGAAAGCGACTTCGACGGATCACCCTACTTGGAGGTTCAGGGCACTTGGTTAGGGTTTAGGGTTTAGGGTTTAGGGTTTAGGGTTTAGGGTTTAGGGTTTAGGGTTTAGGGTTTAGGGTTTAGGGTTTAGGGTTTAGGGTTTAGGGTTTAGGGTTCGTAACCCACGATAAGTGTAGTTAGAACCCACATCTAAGCCCTTAAGTGACCGAATAGGGTTGTCACTGGGTTATAAGTGCAGTTCTACTTGACTTACTAAGTACCATGAAACTCAAAGTACCTCTCTGGAAACTCCACAAACTCAACAAGTCTGCTGCCCTAAACCCTAAACCCTAAACCCTGGTAACGGACCATCCTGTCAAGTGGAGTGGGCCAAGGCATTCGTCTTCTTGACTAATTCAAGCACCAAAGCAGGTAAGCGTGTGAAATACAGTCAAGAGAGTGCGCACAGTACCCTAAACCCTAAACCCTAAACAAACCCGAAACCCTAAACCCTAAACCCTAAACCCTAAACCCTAAACCCTAAACAAACCTTAAACCCGAAACCCTGAAGGACAAAATCTGACATCGAATCACGCCCGCTCTCCGCCTCGGGAGGGTGGTTGATCTGCGGACCCCAGGCCATGGTTGGGGGCCTCAGCCGAATGCCGAACAAAAACACAAATAATAAATAATACTATAAATAAAACGAACATACGAACAATAAGAAGACTAAGAAGAATAATGATAGAATACCAATGATACTATGAATAATGCTGATACTACTGATAAAAAGAAGAAGAATAGTAATAGCAATAATAGCGAAAATACTAAAAATAATGATAATAACAATAATAATCATCATGAGTAATACTAGTAACTATCATAATAATAATAATAATCATCATCATCATCATCATAATAGTAATAATCATAATAATAATCATAATAATAATAATGGCAATAGTAATAATAATAATAATAACAACAGCAAAAAAGCTGCCCAAACTGAACCCACTGCGGACCTCGGCGGCGGAGTGCCAGCAGCAGCAGCCGTGAAGCGGCGCCTAGGCGCAAATCAGAGGATCCTTGTGCAGTGCATATGGGTTTAGGGTTTAGGGTTTAGGGTTTGGGGTTTAGGGTTTAGGGTTTGGGCTTTGGGGTTTAGGGTTTAGGGTTTAGGGTTTCGGGTTTAGGGTTTAGGGCTTAATGCAGGACATGCAGCACGCGATGGGCTTAAGGCCGGCGCTGTGCCTCAAGCAGCTTCTCTTGCAATTCCTGCACCTGACGCGGCTCAGCAAATCACAAGAAACAAAGAGGAGTTGCAAAGGAAGCTTTTGGTGCTTTGTGGCTTCAAACGTTCAAGACACTGACAATGCCTCGACCTTCATGAGCGCAACCATGCGAGGCACTCGGTGAGTGCTAGACGCGGTGCCCCGATGTCTCGTCATCGCACAATCATGCCCCTCCGCTGTGCTCCCTAAACCCTAAACCCTAAACCCTAAACCCTAAACCTGCCCTTTGAACTTCTTTTCATCGCAAATTGGGCAGAGGAACCGTGGAGAAGGCTATGGTGAAACCGATGCAGCAGTGCAGGGAAAGCTCAGCCAGTTTTTGCCCGCCGCCTGGCTCAAACCACGCGCTGTCAAGGAACGTCACGTTAAACGAAGCTACGACACGTCTCTGCCAAGCATGGAGGCAGGCAAGCAGCCGCACGTTTTCCGCCTCAGTCCGTCCTGCGCCCTGCGTGTGGTCTACAAACTTGGGCTGTTTGAGGACAGGGCATGCCAAATGCAAAGTGCCATTCGACTAATCCACCCTGCTTCAGTCTATGATTCGAAACGCACGTCCTGTAATGATCACGTCCCCTCAGTCTCAACTTCTGCAGCAGTCTCCTGCCAACTTGACCGTGCCGGCACCGCGAACTGATTTCTACCACTCGCCCCGCTTGCCCCCACTTGCTCTGGTCTGGACGCAAAATCCCACGTGCGCCATTTGCCCCACCTGCCCCAATTGCCCCAAAAGCGGGTTTGGGGTCTGGGGCTTGGAGCCCCAGCTGTAGAAGAGCCTCACTGCCTAACAATCAGCCGAGTGGCAGGACTCTACCCTGGAAGCGGGGTGACGAGGTGATGTGGGGCAAGGATGGCAACATGAATTCGCTCTTCTGGACACAAAGCGGGGCAGCACAAGTTCGTGAATCTCCCTGACCACCAGGCAACCATGGGGCCAAAGAGCCAGCAAGCAGAGCCAAGCTGGCACAGGCTGCTTTCGTCGCTTTAGCTTAGGTGCCTTGGAGCCGCATGACGAGTGGCGCCTTCGGATGCATTGACCATGGACCATGGACCAAACTCGAGACATGCTTCGGAAGGACAGTCCAAACACACGCAAGTCCTCGTTTGGATCTTTGCCAACTTCTTCCAGGAGCCTTAATTTCGGATGTCATTGCTTCGGTTAACTTTCTCCCTTACATCAACTTGGGATGCTTCAGATCACCCCGTCCCTGCTTAGCCAGGAGCTTCTTGCGTGCCGCGATATCTTCTTCCTGTGCTGCAATATCTCCATGGGTATAAGCTCACATGTGTGGATCAACTAACAAGTCAACAACTCTAAAACCTTCAAATACTTTTCTTGATACCAAGTTAGCCTCTCTGCTCTCTGCACTTCCCTGCACTCTGCACGCTGATCAATCAGATGGGGCGCTGTGACTCCACGGACATTCACGTCATCTTCAGGTGACGCGCATGAATTCATCCTCCAGCATACCGCCACAGTGTCGCAAAGCCTGTCACAAAAGCAATCAGGCTTGCGGCTGAGAGAAGTCCCAATTGTTCTGGTTGCCTTGCAGACTTTACATCGTAATTTCGACCAAAGCATGCAGGAAAGCAGTCCAGTCAGTCCTGTGAAACACGGGATAGTCCACGTAGCGATCGCGGCCGTCCCCAAACCGGGACTGGTAGCCGTGCTTTTCAAACGGGGCCACATCCTTGAACAAAGCGTTGCCAGCGGCTGTGCTACATGTACAACCTAGACACCGGGTTTCCCGAGAGCAATGCAACCAGCGACTCTCCATCATGAATAGCGTACTATCATCCTCGACATCGTCAGCATCATCATCGCCGCCGTCATCAGCGTCACCATCAGAGCAGGGTGTAGATGCATTGAAAGCAACAATCGGGACAACACCAGATATCACGCATATCACGCAGTCCATGGAAGAATCTTGCGCACTTTCTTCGATACTATATGACACAGTAGACTTCAGGGCACCACAGTGTTTCATGCAATCGCACATGGGCACAGTACTCCTGGCCAAAACTTCAAAACGACGACGGCTTTGAGGATGGTCCCCGACCCCTGCGACCCATGTGGCTATTGAATGCCATTGACACATTTCACACATGACGAAGATGCGAGCCCGTGCCCGACTGTTGCCATGTTACATGTGATAAAGATGCGGCGAGATCTGCTCACGAAGGCTCACCGGCCTGGTAAGCACCGGCTCTTGCTACAGCTGCACAGAGCCGGTGCACAATGTGATGGAACTGGCTTCCCTCACAGACCGCTGTTTTGTATACTCATTCCTAGCCTCTTCCGCCACCATGAGCAAGGTGGGCAAGGCAGTGTTCGCGCGAGGAAGTGTCGCACGTCAGCCCCCGGGAGTCAGCCCCCGGGCGCGCAGGCCGTCGCGGATAACGAGAGGATATGATGATGTCAGCTCGCTGGCGGTAGTTACTCCTTCACCATCTCCGGGTACTGCACCGCAAGGTGCCAACAGTGTGTTCATTTGTTCCAAAACACAAGAAGGCCCTGCAGCATAGTGTAGTAACGGGTTGACACAGCGTGAGGAACCACGGGACCCTCCACCGTTCCTTCCTTTTGTGAGCGGGAATGAGCAAGTGCACGGGACGGCTGTGCGTATGTGTGCGTCCCACGTCCGTGGTGATTGTGTGGGTCGAACTAGCAAACAGTGCGGCAGCTTTTCGTATGTGCCTGTCAGGTTGCCGACCCGTGCCGCTTCTTTGGCTTCAAAAACGCGGTCTCGCCGAAGGCTTGGGTGCGCGCAAAGGCTTGGAGGTCGCGGCTTTCAAGTCAAGAGCAGCGACATCCGACACGGAATGACATGGCAAATCGCGCTCTCGCCCAGGTGCCGTGCACTTGTTGAGGCTTGAATCGCGCCGTGTCGCAAAAAAAGTGGCAGGAAACGCATTCCGGCCACACAATACAGAGCATCCGCCGCCGTCGCGGTCTTCCACTGTTGTTCGGGTTTCACGCTGGCATGTCTAGCTGTGCTTCAAAACCTGAACGGGACCCCTAAACCCTAAACCCGAAACCCTAAACCCTAAAGCAGCTGGAGCTTGCCAGTGGCAAACTACATCTCTGGCGCGCATACCTTCCAGGACCCTTTGCTGGCACTAAGAGCTATCAAAAGCTACGCATCGGGGATGTTTCCCCTTGGATCAGGGTTTAGGGTTTAGGGTTTAGGGTTTAGGGTTTAGGGTTTAGGGTTTAGGGTTTAGGGTTTAGGGTTTAGGGTTAGTACCCCCTATTATAATCCCTACTAGGGACTGGCAGCATCAGGGGGAACATCCCACGCTACGCACCACTTGGGTCGCTGGATACCACTTGCAAAGCCGAGCTGCGAACCACCACACCTCCGGCTGCAATTGCCGGTCCTGCCACTTCGGTTTGCCTCAGCTTGTGACTCACCTTCTTGCTCGCCTTTGAAACCTGTGTGGGGATGGCTTTCCGTGATCTGCTTCGAACACCACCCAAACAAGGCTCAGTGGCAGTTGTAGAGGTTCCAGCTCAAGCACTGAGCTGACGTCACTACAACAACCTCAGTCAGAGACACAGAAAAACGAAACAACAAAAAACAACCAACACCCCGACGTTAAAGACCACGCTGAGACAAAAAGGTACAAAAGTCCAGGCAGCTAATTGCCCATCCTCCTTGCAAACGTGGGCAGCACCTCAGCTTGTATCACGTATGGATGAGTAGATGCTGCTAAAAATCGCCTGACATCTTCTTGGGCCAGGCACTCTCCAGGAAAGCCTGAATGTAATAGTACATCATGGTCGAGATACCTGGCAGAGCTTCAGTTCGATGTGCTCACTTCTCCTATAACGCTGGCAGCTGCATGCAAGTCGCTCGCTGGTGGGCGCCACTGTCTGTCCGGCACATATGGCATCATCCAGAAGATTGTGTCGAAGCCTGAAAAGACTGATTGAGTTTGCTCCTCCCCTGCGGCATTCTGAGCTATTGCGGGCTTGCCTGATCTCGCTTTCGCGCTTGTGCACAGTTAGTCTGCCAAGCTGCTGCTGTGTGGACAGTTAGCCTTGTCCAGCGTCTGCTTGAGCTTCACGCCATTTATGTCATCAGAACACCAAACCTCTGAAGTTTCAGCATTTGCTACAAACGAATCTATCAAACAGCGTTTGACAGCATGGAAGCACTGCGAGCAAGTGGCTCCCCTTGATCCTCAGATAAGGCTGCAACGGCTGCAACTCGCAAGTGAGGATGTGCGACGAGCACGCGCTGGCGCTTGGCAGGCGATCGAAACTTGAGGCTCCGAAGGACCCGATGCTCGAGCTGAACCCTTCAAACCACTTGATGAAAAATGATGCAACGATGCACGAGCAATAGCAACAAATGAGAATTTTACTCAAGTACAGCGCACGTAATTGCAACAACCAGCGCAGGAGGTTCTTTGGGCATGGTAAGTCTAAGCAAGCTAGAGGCGCTGCCTCTCAATGACTCAACAGTCCAAATACCACCTGCCACTGATGCCGAGTGTCGCAGCAGCTTCAGATTTTGCACCAAATCCAGCTCGAGCTTCTTCTCAAGAGTTCCTTAAACGCTCACGATGCGCACTTGCTGCCGGCATCTTGCGGTGAGCACTTGCTGGGGGCTCACAGCTAAGGCTTTGTCATGCAGACATGAAGAAGCACTTTGAGAAGTAATCACGCCCTGGGAGCAACAAAAACACAAAATCATCAAACAAATATCCAATGATCAGAGCTTGCCGGGGAGGGAATGACACAATTGACAAGCCCACCTAGTAATGCGATAACGCGTATTCGTAATTATGGTAAAAATTGTACAAATCGCGATGAGCGCAAAAACCGTTGTGCTGTAAGAAAGACCAAACGTACTCATACTACAAGTACAAATAGACTCAAGGTAATGAGAATTGGAAACTCATGATAATCAACCATATTAGCCATGGTAGTCATAAACGCAATAACAACACCAGCAAAAACAATAACTCTAACAGGGCTAGACAATAATTGCAATAGACGGTGCGAGGCTCTATTTCTTCAGACCCTAAACCCTAAACCCTAAACCCTGAACCCTAAATTCTAGCCTTGGAAGGGGCTGGTGTGATTCGCGCCTCTCTTATGAGCGATAAGATCATCGGTACGGGTTCTGCGCGAGGCTCCTGTCAATTTACTCGGGCTTCTGTACTGGTTTAGACAAAGTCAAAAACAGGCACATAACACCATGGGCACAATCTGGTGCGATTTATGTGGAATAGGGCCAGCCGAATCACACTGCAGCGCATCAAGAAGAAACGAAAAACAAAGCTGCACCACAGGTGGGTTTTTCTTTGAGCCGTTTCGTCCATGTAGTGGCGCTTCTATCTACACGGAACACCATGAACAAAATCTGCTGTGATTCGCGTCTCTTGCCTCTTTGCGCGAATCGCACCGATCTTGCCATGTCTATACAGCATCAGTGGAAAAAGAAATGAATGGAGGACAGTTATTTGCACGTGCTGCTATTCACACCTTGAAAGTAACAATATGCAATAGTGCAAGCGGCAGTGCAGCATTCGAAGAATCTCAACTTGGTGTTCTTTCTTTCTTTCTTGCTTTCTTTCTTTCCTTGTTTCTTTCTGGGGGCCTGGGGGTAAGCCCCCGCCCCGCGCAGTCCGCGGACCCCCACTTGTTGCGAAGGTTGAACTGAGGGCTGTCTAATGAGGTGCCCCTTTTCCTTCTTTCCTTCATTCCTTCCTTCCAGCGAGGTCCAAAGGCCTCTCTCTCTCTCTCTCGCCCGCTCTCCGTGGGAAACGATACGCAATGAAACCTCCTTCCCTCTCTCTTTCATTGTTGCTTTGCTTTTGTCTGTCTATCTTTCTTCCCCGCACTCTGCCACCTAGCCGGCAAAACTAACCAACGATTGGGACAAACAAAACGAAGCTGAGCAGGCTTGAAAGACAAGAAAGCAAACCTAGAAGCCGCAAAGCCAACACACCGAAAAGCCAAGAAGCCGAACTTGCCATGGGCTTTCGACGATCCAAAACGACACTTGTCTAAACTAAGTTGATTCTTTGTTGCTTTTTTGTTGATCCGCAGGCTCTAGCCCGCCTGCCCTTGCTAGAAGATGCCCAAACGCGCCAAGGCTGCGAAGGCACTTGGCCATCTCAGCTCCGTTGAGCACCAACAAGCCTGCACAGGGCCAACAGGACTCCATTTAGGGTTTAGGGTTTAGGGCTTAGGGTTCAGCATCTCTGATCTAAGCATTCACCAAGGGTGTTTGGCATCACCCCACCCACCTAGAATCCCTTTCATTTGGCAACCTTATCTACCATTTCAATTCTTATTGCCTTAAGTCCCCTGAACCCTAAATCCTAAATCCTGAAAGCTCCAGAGAGGCCCCTGAATCCGAATCCTAAACGCCGCAGAAAGGCCCTTAAACCCAAATGCCTAAGTGTTAAAAGCTGCAGAGAGGGCACCCCTAACTCCAAATCCTAAATCTTGAAAGCCCAGAGAGGGCCCTGAACCCTAAATCCTAAGTCCTACAGGCATTACCCCAAAGCACCACCGCAGCCCCAAATAGCTGCAAAAAAACACCAAAATGCTTCAAAAAAAACCCAAAAGGGGGAGCCTGGTATTTGCCTGCTCCCGCAATGAAAAATGCTGATTTTTAGTACTGATGGTATTTGCCTGCTCCCGCAACGAAAAATGCTGTTTTTTCATACCGGAATCAACGGTTTCGGGACCCCTCCATTTACCCCAAAGCACCACCACAGCTCCGAATAGCTTGAAAAAGCCCCAAAAGGCTTTAAAAAGCCGGGTGTGCCGGGGGCTAACCGGGACAGCTGTTTCGGGGGCGTCCCGGGGGGGCTCGGGACATTTGTTTCGGGAGGGACCCGGAACGCCCCAGGACACCCCAGGACAACCTGTCCCCGGGGGTGTTCGGCACAACCCGTCCCCCACAACCCGTCCCGGGGGGGCCACGGGACAGCCCATATTAGATTAGGATTTAGGATTTAGGATTTAGGATTTAGGATTTAGGATTTAGGATTTAGGATTTAGGATTTAGGATTTAGGATTCAGGATTCAGGATTTAGGATTTAGGATTTAGGATTCAGGATTTAGGATTCAGGATTTAGGATTTAGGATTTAGGATTTAGGATTTCGGATTTAGGATTTAGGAACCACGAAACCACAAAAAAGCAAGACGACTCCATTAAGGTTTAAATATATATAGGTAGAGAGGGTGTAGGGTTCAGGGTTCAGGGTTCAGGGTTCAGGGTTCAGGGTTCAGGGTTCAGGGTTCAGGGTTCAGGGTTTAGGGTTTAGGGTTTAGGGTTTAGGGTTTAGGGTTTAGGGTTTAGGGTTTAGGGTCTGGGTGACACCCAGTTTGACATATCCTGCCTGGCTCAGGTTGAAGGGATGATCTGTTTCCTCAACCAAAATATGCTGGGACACGCACGCAAATTCAGGCTAGACATCCAATGACATCGTTCCACAAGCCCTCTCGACACATGTGGTTGTGCGCTGTGCGTTCTCGGCCCCCCGCCCCACCCCCCCCCTGGTATTCGCCCCACCCCCTATGGTGTACGGTCTCTCCTCTAAACCCTAGACCGTAAACTCAACGCTAAACTACAAAAACTCTAAACCCCGAGACTCTAAACCTTCAACCTTAAAACCAACCCACAACCACACCACAGCGGGAAACCTTACATCCGAAACCCTAAACCCAAACCCTAGTCGCTAATCAAACCCTAAGACCTAAAACCCGAAACCCGAAAACCAACCCTCACCTCATGTAGGGCTTGGGTGAACCACTCCCCATTCTTTCGAAGGCTTGGGTGCACTGGTCTGCCTCTTTGATATGGGTCTTTCGCTTTAAGCTTGAAACCTCCACACCACTGCTCCGCAGGCGAGAGAATGCCAAGATGTGGCAGCAGGAGTGCCGGCATACTTGCTCCGTAGCTCTGTTTACTGCTCAGGATTTGCTTACGCTCAGATGCGACTAAAAATCCAAAAATGCAACCTCGAGTGGGCGAGTACGACCTCCTTTGCACTGCTCTCAGAAAGTAAGACCTGCAACGCCAACCTGGGCCCCCAAAAAAAAGGCAAAAATGCGTATTTCCCAACATAGGGGTACCCCTTTTACAGCCCAAATAGACTAGAATGCCTCTCAAAGGGACCCCCAAAAAAGGCACCCCCTAAATTCGGAAACCCCCACATCCTTGTGCCCCCCCCCAAGCATCCTCTGCAAATGGAAGGACGCCAGCCAGCCGGCCTCTGGATCAAAGCCAAAGCGAGCTTCCCTAAACCCTAAACCCTAAACCCTAAACCCTAAACCCTATACCCTACTGGGGGGTTTCCGAAAACAGGGGGTGCCCTTTTGGAGGGGATTCCTAGAATAAGGGTTGTGCTATTCGGGGGGTACATTAAGGGTGCCCCCTATTCTTGGAAATACCCATATCAGGCAAAGTACTCATATGCAACCTCAGATGGAATGTGCCAGTTCTCAAGCAGTTCTGAAGGCAACGATCGGTATGCAAGGCTGAAAGATCTGAACGCCAAGCGCAGCGTATGCACGGGGTCCCGGTTAGTACACACAGGCCAATGTTTTCGAGGCTTCCGGAAAATGCAAGCAACGGCTGGTCTGAATCCCTTGGTGTGCGCACAGTAGGCGTTCATGAGTCAGGGTTCAGGGGGAGCATTTCCAAGCAACACTGCCAAACAAGGCCAAATGTGCTCAGCACACTCCTGCAGGAATTCTAGATGGGGGCAATGTGGCGGATGGCGTACGCATCCTACGGGACGTGGCATGCAGTGCGCAACCCGGGACATAGCATCTAGCGCACACAACCCACGCGACGTGGCCAACATTGGCCAACATTGGCCAACATGGCATGCAGCCCGCAGGATGGCACGAGAAGCCGTGTTAGCTTTGTAAACTAACCAGCCAGTCTAGACGAGAACAGAGCCGGGGATCTAGCACTAGCTTCGCGACTGGTTTCATCGGAGATAAATAGAAGGCACATGTGTCAGCACTCGGACAGTCTTCCTTTTTGGCGTTGTGAAGTATGCCCCCTTAGCTGTTCCAGGGTGAGTTGGGAGGGCACGTTGAAATTCGCCCTCCCCCCTTCAGCCAGGGGTCTTGATATCCAAAACGGACACATACCAACCGGCCATTTCGCCCCCGCAACAGGGCAAAAAAACACAAAAAAAAACGGAGGAGGGGGGGGGGGGGGAGTATTGTCCGAAACGGGGGAAACCATTATACCCCCCACCCCTCTATCGAAGGGGCAGTCCAGAACATTGCATTGTTGGTCGTTGATGTACTTGCTTTTGTTTTGGTGTTGACGCTGAAGGGTGTTGCAGAGTCCGATCCTCACAACTTAAAGCCTTCGGCCGTGGACGAGGAAGGACACGATACCACTCGCACGAGCGCGATGCGGAAATGTAGGAACCGAGTGGTAAGTTACATTGCATAACCGCATGCCCGTTTTGTCGCAACCCGGTCCCACCTGCAGCCAAGGAGAAAGAATGGGTGCCTCAGCCAGGCGGCGCACAGTTCCCGGAGAGCAACTGCCAAGGCAACTGCATACCATCATGCTGCTGGCGAGCTTAGAGGCTGCACACCAGACTCATCTGAGGTTGTGACATTCGCCCACCCAAAGAACATCCTTGAAGCTGTCGGGGCCCTGATGTGTCAGCGCCAGATCTAGCAGAGCCCCCCTCCACTTTTCCAAACAGCCAAACGCAGCCTCCCCAAACGCATCGCGCAGTTGCAGTGACTTCTGGCGGCCCTCCTGCAAGGATCACCGAGATGCTAGAAGCCACTCAAAAAGAACGAGCTGGCCCTAAACCCTAAACCCTAAACCCTAAACCCTAAACCCTAAACCCTAAACCCTAAACCCTAAACCCTAAACCCTAAACCCTAAGCTAGGCACAACCGTCCTCAGTCTCGAAATTCTTACGAATGGCATCCAGCATCTTTGCCTTGGTGTCAGAATCTCTCAGAAGCCCAGCTGGCCTTGTCTGCGCATGCACTGCGGACTGCAGAGGATCCCAAGACCCTAAACCCTAAACCCTAAACCCTAAACCCTAAACACTCCATTGGTCTCCAGCGATGTGCTCTCGGTTGGCATGCACATCGTAGGCCCCAACGCCCTGGCGAGAATGCTCGCTGAACTTGGCTACCTGTTTACTGTACCTTTAGATACCTTACCCTAAACCCTAAACCCTAAACCCTCAACCCTAAACCCTAAACTCTAATTAGGCCCTAAACGCGAAACCCCTAAACCCTTATGTAGCGGATGACCTTGTTGTCGATGTACAGCTTGAAGCCAACCTGGCAAGACATTTCAAACGAAACTGCATTGCTGGCGCTCGGCCCATCCATGATGAGTTTGCAGCCGGCGACGCTGCTTCAGACTAAGGAAGAGCAACCCTATTTGCATAGTTGAGATCCCTCCGGTGCCTTCATGCCCACGCTTAGGATGGTGCCCTTCGTTGAAAGATCGGGATTGGCAACATACCTTGCCAAAACGTGCCAGCTGGGAATAATGTGGCGCATGCTCTCTCCGTGTCCGTCTTTCTTTCTTTCCTCCACCAGTATGTAGCTATGTCTGTCGCCTCTCTGTCTCCTCTCTTGCTTGCTTGCAGCACGTATGACCCGCGGAGGGGGGGTTCGCCCCTTTCTTTCTTGGGCAAGCCCCCGGGCGTCCTCGCCCGCCCCGGCATTCGGGGCTCCTCGGGTTTAGGCAGGTTGGGAGAAGGACTTCGCCCCATGACTTACTCTGTCCCCTCTGTCTCTCTCTCTCTCTCTCTCTCTCTCCCGCTCACTCTCCTCTTCTTCTTCTTCTTCTTCGTCTTCTTCTTCTTCTTCTTCTTCTTCTTCTTCTTCTTCTTCTTCTTATTCTTCTTCTTCTTCTTCTTCTTCTTCTTCTTCTTCTTCTTCTTCTTCTTCTTCTTCTTCTTTCTTCTTCTTCTTCTTCTTCTTCTTCTTCTTCTTCTTCTTCTTCTTCTTCTTCTTCTTCTTCTTATTCTTCTTCTTCTTCTTATTCTTCTTCTTCTTCTTCTTCTTCTTCTTCTTCTTCTTCTTCTTCTTCTTCTTCTTCTTCTTCTTCTTCTTCTTCTTCTTCTTCTTCTTCTTCTTCTTCTTCTTCTTCTTTCTTCTTCTTATTCTTCTTCTTCTTCTTCTTCTTCTTCTTCTTCTTCTTCTTCTTCTTCTTCTTCTTCTTCTTCTTCTTCTTCTTCTTCTTCTTCTTCTTCTTCTTCTTCTTCTTCTTCTTCTTCTTCTTCTTCTTCTTCTTCTTCGCTCGCGCGCTCGCTCGCTCTCTCTCTCTCTCTCTCTCTCTCTTGGGACATGGGGCCGAAGCCCCGGGCGTCATCGCCCGCCTCTGTATTGGAGCCGCTCCAGTGGAACCTCTCGCTCTCTCGCTCTCTCGCTCTCTCGCTCTCTCGTTCGCTGGGGGAATTAGTGTTTCACTTAAGGTCCCTCTGGGTGGTTCGTTGGCTGGGGTTGGTTTGTTCTCCTTTTGCTGTTGGGGGCGTTTCACCTCGAGGACCTACGACAACGGGTCGAGAAGATATGCCACTGGGCGACTGTCGTGCGACTCTCCCCAAAAAGATCATTTCAGTATTTCTGTCTTTCTTTCCTTCCTTGCTGTTGTTCTTTCGTTTTGTCTTTCATGTTTTAAAGGGGTCAAGAAATCGCGCGGAAAGCACCCTGTGTCAGGTGGCCAGCACCGATGTTTTTGTTTGCATACAGCGTGTTTTCACGCATGTTCACGCGGTATCAACCTAAACTTGATAGCCGCCCATCGATCTGCACCCCGAATGCGCCTCCACAGGTCGGTCAGTATGATCTCATGGGTCCGTCTTCTAAACACGGGCTCGCTGCGGAGGGAGCCGCCCCAGCACATGTTCTCTCTTCCTTCCTTTCGGCACGCATCCCCGAAAAGGCCGCCAGGCAGGCACGTTCATAATGCCGCGTCAGTGGGTTCTCAGGACTTGCAGATCAAGGTTGCGTGTTGAGACTGGGATTTGTGTGCTGACCTGTAGACTTTCCCCTTTCTTGCCTACGCATTGGTAGGCATGGTAGCAAGGAGAAACACCAGCTGGATGGAAAGGCTTGAAGGTTATGATGTGCTGGGCATGTGTTGTCTTTCTGTCGGTTGAGCCATTGTGTGGCCAGCCTCCCTTGGCTGTCACTCTCGATGTGCTAGGACCACAGCACTTATACCAGGGAACTGGTGTTGTGGCTCAACTCTTGCAATAACTGATACTCCCAGCTGTTTGGTGGGTTGGGCGAATGATGGCTTCCCTCCCCTGTTGCCTTCTTCTCGCGGCCTACACAGTTGACTAGTCGGGGTGTTCACAGCGCAGTGCGGCCGAACGAACTGCGTATTCGTGGGGTAAACAAAGCGTAAGGCTTTGGGCGGTGAGATGGAGTCTGGCCTTGGGGCATGGCAGCAACCAGAAGGTCAGTTGACGTGCAGCGTTGCAACATGTTACAACAGCGCATGTTCTTTTCTGTTCTCTCTCTCTCTCTCTCTTTCTCTGTCTCTCAGCTGTCTGCAGTTTGGCTGCACAACATCATCTTCAATCCCTGCAGCATGTGCAGGCAATGTAAGAAAACAACGACTGCTGCTAGGTGAGCAATCAATTCTCATGTGCCAACATGAGGTAGAATGACCAGTAGATGTCTCAAAAGCTACCAGCTACACCGGCACTCCCGCGCTACGAGGAGGACCTGCTGGCCGGTTGCCAGGCACCGGGTGCCTTGCAATTTTGTGCCCGGAACCCGCAAGCCTCCGCAGAAAGGCTTTCCATGGCCACCATCATCCGCCTTCTTCCGGAACCTGCTGGAGCAGTGAGCTTAAGCTTGGCTGGCTTACTTTGCAGATCTTGCACTCAGCTCGTGTATCCTTCGGCGGCGCCCTTCCGAATCCTAGCAATTCTGTCCAGCAGAAGCTGCAGGCCGCTGTTCCACTGATGGCCCGACGGTTCCCCGAGCATACTTGCAGCGTCATCCCTTCCTTTGCAGAGCCTTTGTCTGCATTGTATATAGCAAACGACCGCAAACGTCTAGCTATGTTTAGCCACGCTTTCCACATTCAAGGCATGCTCAGCAACTCGCGGCCCTAACCCTTGCAGCCAGGAAGCCCGTCGCACATCTCCCGAAGCTTGAGACGAGCATTCTCAGGGAACTTCTCAGGCTCCAGGGGCCGGATCCAGGCCTTACGCACGCCCGGAACAGCAGTCAAGGCAGTCAAGGTGCCCATTCCACACTCCTTTGCATGAGACCTTTTGTCAACCGCTTTAAGGGCTTAACGGCTGCTGGACAATCTCAATTGGCCGCTCGGAAGGGATTACGTCTAAACAGCGTTTCGCATCACTCAGCCACAGCCCACAACCGGCATTTTCCGCGCAGAGTGGCATACGTCTTCGCGCGACGCACGACCTCCCCTTCGTAGCAGCCTTCCTGGAGCTGGTTTGGGGTTCAGGGTTTAGGGTTTAGGGTTTAGGGTTTAGGGTTTAGGGTTTAGGGTTTAGGGTTTAGGGTTTAGGGTTTAGGGTTTAGGGTTTACGGTTAGGGTTTGGGGTTTGGGGTTTAGGGTTTAGGCAGAAGCTAAGGTGCATCACTTGTGCATCCATGCCAAACTCACATCGAAGCTGAAACGGTGCCAAGACTCCAAGATCTGGCGTTCCTCCTCTGCGACCTGACACAGCCACTCCGACTAAAACCCTAAAACCCTAAAACCCTAAAACCCTAAAACCCTAAAGCCCTAAAGCCCTAAAACCCTAAAACCCTAAAACCCTAAAACCCTAAAATTACCCTAAAACCCTAAAACCCTAAAACCCTAAAACCCTAAAACCCTAAAACCCTAAAACCCTAAAACCCTAAAACCCTAAAGCCCTAAAGCCCTAAAGCCCTAAAACCCTAAAACCCTAAAACCCTAACCTGTCAGCAAGCCTTCCCTTGTTCTGCGAAAGTTGCTCCCCAGCAGTTGAACAGTAGCCACTAAACGGCTCAATTAAATCTAGCTGTCCGTTCATGTTGCTTTGGATGCTGGTAATTAAGCGGTTCTGCTCTTGCATGAAAATGCTCCCTACAAGATCACCAACGTCTCAAATCGCTTCAGATCGCCTCGAACCCTCTAGTTTGCATACGTCCTAGAGGTTTCCCGCAGCCTTGGTTTCGAAGCTGCGAAGATAGCGCGGCTTGTGGTCTTGGGCCTGCCCATCGTATCTTTAGAATTTTCTAGAGAGATTCTGCAATCTCCTGAAAAAATGTATGCGACATCCCCTGCCTCGCAATCCTCCATCGGGGACGCCTGAGCACATTTGTCTTACGAAGACTACGGCTGACTATGCGCAAGCTCTCGCATCGCAACAGATCACAACATGTCACAAGAAAAGCCTCCAGGAGTCCACCCTCCGCCTCCCAGATCAAGGCAGAAAATGTGGACAAGACGTCTCAAGTCTGACCGAAAAGGCACCACTCAAGCAGAACGGCCTGAGCCGGATGCTACTGCCTAAGGGATAGGGATAGAAACCCGCAGCTTCAGAATGCCTGTGTAGGGAGCTCCGGTTCTGCAGTGACCTCGCGCAGAGCTGGAAGTAACATGTGACGTTGACTTTGGACTGGGATGTGACCCAGCTCTCTCTTAGTTTTTCACTGGAAATCTTAGCGGCTCTCCCGACATTTCCTGTGACCCCAGTACGGACACCTACTTTTGCGAACGGCTGCATTTCGTTCGTGGTCTTGCCGCCACAGCCATGTGGCTGGTTCAATCACACACTCATACACCCGACGAAGTCCGCTTCAGACAAAGCCCGAAACCGGCCAGTTGTGCAGCCCTGTGCGTCTCGACGGCTCAGCCAACCAGCTGTGAATCAGGATGAGAAATCTATGGAACCCTAAACCCTAAACCCTAAACCCTAAACCCTGAACCCTGAACCCTGAACCCTAAACCCTAAACCCGCCCCCGCTGCGTTAACATGGGGGGGCTCGCGGAGCCGCGCCATGCCAGGAACCCCCACAACGTTGACAAAACACACATAAAAGGACAAAGAAAAAAGCGAAAAATGGGCTTGGGTTTAGGGTTTAGGGTTTAGGGTTTAGGGTTTAGGGTTTAGGGTTTAGGGTTTAGGGTTTAGGGTTTAGGGTTTAGGGTTTAGGGTTTAGGGTTTAGGGTTTAGGGTTAGGGTTTAGGGTTTAGGGTTTAGGGTTTAGGGTTTAGGGTTTAGGGTTTGGGGTTTAGGGTTTGGGGTTTAGGGTTTAGGGTTTAGGGTTTAGGGTTTTCCACAAAGAACAGCATGCACATGGTAGAGCCAACGACAATGCTGGGGGGGGGGGGGATGGCTAGACCCCACGGGAATGTCAAAAATCGTTCTACACGCTCCGTCCCTAAACCATCCCAAATCACAGCCCTTCCTTACATCTTTGCCCCCCCCAAGATCCTCCAAACGAGGCAGGCAACCCAACCCTCAAATGAAGAGCCTCCTCTTTGCTAAACCCTAAACCCTAAACCCTATGTTGAGGGTTGGGGGCGATCCTGTCTTGTGCCTAAGGCTTCGAGTCCGCCACTCGAAACTCCGCTGGGGTTTAGGGTTGAGGGTTTAGGGTTTAGGGTTTAGGGTTTAGGGTTTAGGGTTTAGGGTTTAGGGTTTAGGGTCTCCAAGAGGTTGTGCTCCCGCAGGGAAGTCTTTTTTGCGGCGGCACAGTCCCTTGTAACCAATGATCAGAAACTACGAAGGTGTAACAAAGTTATCAACGTCCCTGAAGTTCCACGTGAAGTGCGCTGACAAACGGTCCAAAAAGTTGTTGGACATGCTTTTGTTTTTGCCTTTTGTGCTTTCTTCAGGCTTGAAAAGAAACTAAACACAATCGGAGGGTGGGTGGGGGAATGGGGGGAGGCGGGTAACCCGCCCCATTTGCAAACACATTGCTCGCGTGACGGAATTGGAAAAGGGTTCGCGTGTTGTTTTGACGCCAGCCCTCTTTATGGCATGACTTTTCTCTTTAATAAACCAAGCTTGCATGGCTTCAAACGAAAACCAGGTCAGCACTCAACCCGCTCCACGACTTATGCACAGCCCCATGCGACTGGTTGCGCAGGCTGACGTCACACAAACGAAACTACATGCCCCAGTTCTGCCAAATAAGCCCTGCACGCATCGCCTCTCCCAACGACAAGAAACAACTCCACTTGACCCCCAAAGGATGTGGCTTTTAAACAATGAGTCTCTCTCCTCTTCATGCACTGATAAACACAATTCTGTTCACTAGTCATCAGGCCTCCACCGCCTCGCCACCAACACCTTTGGTGTCGGAGTACAGCCTTAGTCGCACGTTGCCAACACACTAAGGCAACTCTGTCAATTCGTGGGAACATGGGTGGCAACGCCGGTGGCAACTCGCACAAAAACTTCGTGTCTGCGAGTCTCTGGTCTTACTGCAAGCACGGCACTTCATCTTGACCTGCGTGCCCAAGCCTGGCTCGGGACTCGGACGACTCGGACACACCACCCTAAACCCTAAACCCTAAACCCTAAACCCTAAACTCTAAACCCTAAACCCTAAACCCTAAACCCTGAACCCTGAACCCTCAACCCTAAACCCTAAACCCTAAACCCAAGCACTGCAGTTTTTGTGGACCACACAATGCCTCACCTCCTAAGCTCCGGGCGCAGAGGCCGCGCTCTGTCCGACAGGTCCAGAGCACTGACATAGACCACCTGACAAGCGAGCCCATGTGAGCCATAAGCTGCAGCCGGATTGGGTTGTGTCACTTGTTCCCTGAGCTCTTCACCGCAACCCTAAACCCTAAACCTTAAACCTTGAAACCTACAGAAATGCACAAAGTGCAAGCCGAGCTCAGGAGCTATGCTGTCCCACTTTGGTTTAGGGTTTAGGGTTTGGGGTTTAGGGTTTAGGGTTTAGGGTTTAGGGTTTAGGGCTTAGGGCTTAGGTTTAGGGTTTAGTGTTTAGGGTAGCCATTGGCTTGGGATGGCTTGGGACGGCTTTCAGGGTCTTTGCAAAAGCTCAGGCCAGGGCATGCTCCACCTGAGATTGCCAGGTCGGCTCAGGTTACTATTATTATTATTGTTATTTTTATTATTGTTGTTATTATTATTGTTGTTATTATTATTATTGTTGTTGTTATTGCTATTATTATTATTAGTACTATTGTTATTACTATAGTATTCCTATTATTATTACATTTTATTATTATTGTTTCTTCAGGGCACAATTCACAGAGCCGAACAAGCAGCACCTCAACATGCAGCTGAGTGGCAGTGTCGTCCAACTTGGTCCTGTGCCGGAACTTCGCATCCCGCGGCTTCTTCTTGACAGCCGCCTAAGCGGAGTGTCCCTGTGTGGAGAGTCCTTCCCAGTGTCGGGGCCTTTGGGGAAGAAAAAACTCCCAACCGCCGCGCTGTTTTAGCGCAAAGCCTCTCAACAGCTCTGCAGATCTGAACGCTCCGAACTCCGAAATGCCAAAAACCCTGCATCCATTCCAAGCCCAAGCCGAAGTGCACCAACGCCCCTAAACCCTAAACCCTAATTAGACCCTAAACCCTCAACCCTAAACCCTAAACCCTAACCCGAAGTGCACCAACGTCCAAGGAGCAGTCATCTCTCGGAGCTGTTGGAGTGCAGCCTCCGGCACCTCAGTTCGTGGCTTCTCATTGGGCTCCGGAGAGCTCCAGGCTGGAAGGTGCCGCTACGAACCAACATAGCAAAACCACGAAAGAGCTGCAGATGAACCACTCATGCAAGGACCGGCCTCCTCGCCAGGTGTGTCCTCAGCTCCGCGGACTTGTGGCTAGTTACGCTTTGGACACTTCTCCGACCCTTCTTTAGTTTGCAGTTGCGCACTGCGCTTCTGCACGCCTGCTTATAGTTACCACGGTTGCACCTCACAGCATGACTTGCCTGCACAAGAAAGTGCCGGACTGCGCCCAAGCCCTAAGCTCCCCTGTCATCGCAGAAATCGTGGTTCGTGGTACAGTAATAATATTAACTACCCTAAACCCCTAAACCCCTAAACCCCTAAACCCTAAACCCTAAACCCTAAACCCTAAACCCTAAACCCTAAACCCCCTTTAGGCCCTAAGCCCTAACAAACAGAAGAACCCCGGCTCGGGGCGCGGGAAGTTGGGGGCTGACCATGCCCGAGGTTTCATCGACCAGCAGCCCGTCGATGATGCCAGAAATGAGAACTTCATGGTTGGGATGGTAATAAACATCTAAATGTCTATTCCTTGTTGGGTTTTAAAGTACCTTAAAGAGATGTATTCAAGATTTCAACTGCTATTCCTATTCCTTGGGTTTAAGTACCCTTTAAAATGTAAAATGTTACCCAACTATGACAAAGAGAAGCGGTGTGGTCATGAAGGCTCGAGAGAACGTGCATCAAAGAACCTGCTAGCGCCTAGGCGATGATTGGCCCTAAACAGAAAGCTTGGACGATCCAGCTAGGGTTTTAGGGTTCAGGGTTTAGGGTTTAGGGGTAGGGATTTAGGGTTTAAGAGTTTGGGGTGGTCAGTCTGTCGTCCACAATCCGTCCCCGTAAAGCGGCATTGCGAAGCAGTATTGTGCAGCATGCGGCACTCCATGTTTAGTAACAGTGTAGTACTGAGGGAAAAATGTCGTGGAGTGATGAGCATTCTTCAGCACTTTCAGAGTAACAGGTCCTTGTGCGGCATTTCCAACAAGTGTCAGCATTCACAGCACTCATGCAAAGCAGAGATGGTGGGCAAAAGTTACCAACATATTATGTTGAAGAATTTCGCGTGCAGCATCGTAATCTCCTACTTCTGAGGGCGGCATAAAACTACAAAAGGAGCCCCCGGGCCCTTCATTGAGTGGGAAATAGTGGGAACCAAACTCCAAACATGCAGGAGGGTACGACGGATGCTTATTCATGATCTATGGTGCTTCGATCATGCAGCACAGAATCAAGAAGTTTGATCCAGGAGAAGCCCTTTCCCACAAACAGCACTTCTCCTTAGCAGGGCGTTCGCGAAATCACTGCTGTAGATGCCAAGATAGATAGCCCTCTTGCTACATCGGAAGAAAGGTTTCATCAAGCGAGTTTAGGGTTCAGGTTCAGGGTTCAGGGTTCAGGGTTCAGGATTCAGGGTTCAGGGTTCAGGGTTCAGGGTTCAGGGTTCAGGGTTCAGGGTTCAGGGTTCAGGGTTCAGGGTTCAGGGTTTAGGGTTTAGGGTCAAGGCTCTTTCAACAGCAACCAATAGGGTGCAGCGACTTCACCAGCTGTGACTTCTGGAGGTCTGGGCTTTTTAGCAGGGCTGCCAGCGTAGAAGTTCTCCGACACCGGCTTCCTTTCAGCATCGGGCAAATGCAAATCTGCCGGACAATTGCCACAAGCGGACGAGAAAGGATTCTTGGCCTAGTCGCCCTCTCTCTTCCTCTGGCAAAACAGTGTCGGAGACATGGACTTACAACAAAGGGTCTCAACCGCCGCGTCAGCAATGAGCAAAAAGAACCCTTCAAAGAGGCACGCCTCCCTTCCAGGTATGCTCTGGCTGCGCGCCGCTCGGCGGCATCATCCATGAGGTGGATGAAAGGTCACCAGTGTCGGCTACATGGCTCGGCTCACATGGCTAGTGCTCAGCTGTTGTTGCAGCCGCTTATTCCTCAGGGTCAGACTCGCGCAGGGTAGCGCTAAAAATCGCATAGCTAGTGTTACGATTGCCAGGCCCGCCGTGCTGGCAACAGAGACAATGGGGTCATCGAATGCTTCTGGATACTTTGTGCAGTCGGCGAAAAGGCTTATCACTTGCAGAAGCTGACATACTTACTGCTGCACTGTTTGATAAAGGCTGCGTGGTATCATGCCCCGTACTGCATCAAATGTCATGACCGCATGCCTTGTAGACCAAGATGCGATCTTCACTTTGCCATTGGCACCATATTTCTGTGATTCACAGATAGCAACTCCTGCTGATAAACACTGTTTAAGCCTTGGGCATCCCTGAAACACGCCACTATATATGTTCAAAAGCCTTCACGATCAAACCCTCAAAATTGGCTTGGCGAATCGACATGCCTCGGATGGCCTCATTTCAAGTACCAGCGCATGGTTTCAATCCCTTGCCTTCCTAGCTGAGGCGTTCTTGGTCGCCTACCTTCCATCATACCTGAGCCTGTTGTCTGTGAACGGACAGGAACCAATGCCGCATACCCCAGGAGACATTTCAGCAAAACCATTGGCTTCATGCGCAGACAGACGAGATCAGGAGCATTACTAACATTATTGCCAATGCACCCTGCAAAAAAAAACACCGCAATCCAGCAAGACTTCGCAGAAGGTGCCCGCAGCAGCGCCAACCCCCACCGCGCAGCGCCCGAAGTTTGGCCTCCTAGACAGGCATTCTGTCATTGACTCTCACCAGCCGGTTTAGTCGATCGACATCCATCGCGACCTATGTGAAACGCACCAAGGCTGCGCCTTGAGCACATCCTTGTTCAGCTTAGGCGCAGCTAAAGCGTTAAAAAGGCCTTACCCCAAAGCAGACCGGTGAATGCTTTGATCTACCTATATTTGCCAGGATTCTGGAATATTAGTTCAGGCACTGTTCACGCTCAAACATACCGGATGCTCTAAGCGCATGTAAGTTCCTGTGGCTGACTTACCTACGCTACGGCCGACCCTGCAAAACTGCAGGCCAGTGGCGATGGCTTCGTCAGAGTCATCGACCTGCAAAGGGTTCATCTGGCTGTTCTCGTTATTTAAGCGGTTTAGGGTTTTGGTCTTAGAGTTGAGGGTCGAGGGTCGAGGGTCGAGGGTTGAGGGTTGAGGGTTGAGGGTCGAGGGTTGAGGGTTGAGGGTTGAGGGCTGAGGGTTGAGGGTTGAGTGTTAAGGGTTGAGGGTTGAGGGTTGAGGGCTGTGCATGGTGCGGGAGTTGCAACTCAACAGCCAAACACCCCTCACCTAAACCCTAAACCCTAAACCCCTGGGACCTCTTCCGGCTCCTGCTCCTCCGTTCGATTGGGCCGATCATCGTAGAGCCGCTTCTCGCAGTCTTTCCTGTCACGGGTGAGATCCCCTAAACCCTAAACCCTAAACCCTAAACACCAAAAGCCCAAGAGTACATGAAGGCACCCCGCGAGGCTGCTCGATCTGCCTCTGAAAGATTTTCTGGCAGTTCGCCTGCACTCTTCACATCGTCATGCAGTCTGGCAGTCAGCGCCATGTCATGCAGCGGTGCACAGCAAACCCTAAACCCTAAACTGCACGCCCACCCTCTCCAGCTCGAGTGTGCGGCGGATGTCGATCAAATAGTGCCGAATCTTGGCACATCGGTATTCTTAGAATGAACTCAGGAAATTCCACGGGTTTCTTCCGGAGAGCGAACACCTGTGAAGCTTGACTACAGGCAGTTGACCGTGCACCGCGTGTGGAAGAAGACACAACCCACGAGCTCTTGGCACGCGGCCCGACGCTCGAGATCATTCATGCCAGGAGCCTAGAGCAGTACACACGTGCAGTTTCCGAAATTAGGGGTACCTGGAGCAACACATCAGAACACATTAGCTCGCTCGCTTTCAGGAATGCTGTCCCATGCCGTCCCATCCCCTGGCCTCTTCAGACGCTCCATCCTCGTCAGGACTCCGTGGTGCTTTGATTTGCTGTGGTGCATTGGGTCGTGCTTGCATAATCCTTTCTATGTGCCATTTGCTAGGAGGCCGTGGTACCCGACTACTCCCAGAGAATTGCTGCGCGAGTTTCCGATAGGGGCATTTCCCACAATAGGGGTACCCCGTTTATACCCCAAATAGAATAGAAGTCCTTGAAAGGGACCCCCCAAGAAGAGTACACCTATGTTCGGAAATCCCCATATACAACCGTGTCCCGGTTTAGGGTTTAGGGTTTAGGGTTTAGGGTTTAGGGTTTAGGGCTTAGGGCTTAGGGCTTAGGGCTTAGGGCTTAGGGCTTAGGGCTTAGGGTTCGGCTCCTGGCTCGCGCGCCAGCGGTTGATTGACCTCAAAGCCATCTCCAGATCCGGACCTGTACAGGGGCTGCGGCTGCGACATAGGGGGGGGGGGGGGGGGGGGGGTGGTTTCCGAAAATAGGGTAAACCCTAAACCCTAAACCCTAAACCCTAAACCCTCTTAGGGGTTCCTGTAATAAGGATTCTACTATTTTGGGGTATACTCAGGGAATCCCCTATTTTTGAAAGATGCCCACATGCGCCATGCTACAAACTTCCACCCAAAAACTTCCACGAGCGCTTCCATGAAGAGGTTACGTGAACACGTTGCATGTAAACACTTTGCAATTACGTGAGAATTAAGCGCTGCTTCTGCTCCAGGGCTCGCACGAGCACTCCTGTGATCTCCCAGCCGATACCGGGCCAACCCGCGGCGGTACAGGGCCTCCGAGATCAAACAGCTTAAAAACAGCAGCAACTCTTTCGGGGGATTCGTTAAAAAACGGATGCTTTCAAGACAGCTCCCCAAAGTAATTGAAGAAGGCAATGGAAGGCATTGGCAGCTTTTTGACCACAGGACGGAGGCGGTCAAAGACACCCCGGTGGTCAAGTCAATGTCTGTGCTTCGGCCATCATCGGTTGTAGTACCTGTAGTTGAAAAAAGGCATCTTGCAGAGGTGAAGCTACCCAGCCAGAAGCTGCCCTCTAAACCCTCAACCCTAAGCCCTAAACCCTAAACTGCATCTTGACGAGTTGCTCAGACATGCCTTGGCTGCCGATGTCCTGCGAAGCGAGGGAGACAAGCAGTGACAAGCAGGCATCCCTCCACAAACTTCAATTGACGCAATGACACCGTGATGGTCCTGGAAGTACTCATTGACGTCAAAATCTCCTTTGGAGCAGGGGCAGCTGATGATGTAGTCCACCTGCCGTTGCGATCCCACTGCGATCCCGACAACTCGTTCACATTCATTTTCGTCTCTGCCTGGGCAGGAATGCCCGTGCCTTGTGTTCTGGCCTGTTCTGCGCCTCCTTGATCCTGTCGGAAAACCTGGGGTTACGCTCTGAAGGTGAGCTGCAAGAAGTCTCTGCTCACTTTCGCCACGGCACACGAACCACTGCGCGAACTCCTCCACGGTGTCTTTGTACGTCTGGCCTCGACTACAACTTCATGCGAGCCGCCATTTTACAGGGCACGGATGGAACTGCACAGCAGCATCTTGCTGTGAATGGTTGTGACGCGGGCATGCAACCAAGCGGACCCAGTAGAAGCCAAAAGAAAACCCACGTGAAAGACAGCAACCTAAACCCTAAACCCTAAACTACCTTGTGAGTGGAGCACAGGTTGGCGAGAAACAGTTGAAAACCGCTCAGTCAATTCTGCGAAGACTTTGCCGTCGTTACTTTCAAGTTGCTGGGCTGGATTTCTGTTGCTGTTCCAAGCCAGCAGGGTTTAGGGTTTGGGGTTTGGAGTTTAGGGTTTAGGGTTTAGGGTTTAGGGTTTAGGGTTTAGGGAATTGCAGGAAAGGCCAGAAGAAAAAGAGACCAAAAGGACATCTTCGTCACTGTCTTCACTGGCACAAGCAGAGCAGCTGAAGGCGCTCATGACATCCTCGTAGTCGACCACGCCACCTCAGAGCTTCTTAGGATTTAGGGTTAGGGTTCATGGTTTAGGGTTTAGGGTTTAGGGAGATGTGCATGCATGCTGCACGCTCTGAAACCGAGGGAAGCTGCAACTTGCGAAGTCTCGCCTCGCGAAGCCCCGAAACTGCAAGAAGGTCTTGCCATGTTGTGCTAGCGAGCAACCCGGCAGCGTTGCATTGCCATTCTCGCGCAGAGCCTTCTCCTGTCAAGCAGGAGTCATAGGAACTACATGGGCATTTCCCAAAATGGGCACCCCTTATATACCCCGAATAGAATAGAATCCCCTTCAAAAAGGGTACCTCTATTTTTATCAAACCCCCACATGGAACTACTTGATTCCTCAATTCATCTTGCGGGGTTTCTCACTGGACCTCCAGGCGCTCCCTGATGGGATAGCGGTCTGTCGTCTCGAGGATCCTCCCGAAAAGCAGGCAAGTGACAGGGCAGATGGGGGTCATCGAAACTAGGGCTACAGTACCTTCTTGGGACTCCTTTTGGTAAGGGGATCCTACTATTGGGGGTCTACATTAGGTACCCCCTGAATTTTCGTAAACGTCCTAATGTGTCGCAGCAGTCCCGGTCTTGGCGCAGCTTGACAAATACCAGCACATACTCACACAATCCATACGGGGGGGTTCCGAAAATGGGGGCTCCTTATTGGGTTATTGTAAGGGGGATCCTGCTATTTGGGGGTTTTATATTCGGGGTCCCCCATTTTCATAAACCCCCATATCCTTCTGGCAGTGCTGGCATGGTGGAAGCGCACTAAGCTGGCTGAGTCTCTCCTGTCAGACCTCTTTTCGGCTTGAAGGTGTGTGTTGAGGTGCTCGATGTCCCTCAAGATCACCTCGGAAATCTACGTCTCCGCATGGGTGTGTTGGCAAAATTATGATCCCTTTTGGGGTACCCTAAATAGTAGGTGCCGTCTTATAAAATAGGGATCCAAAAAAAAGGACCAGAATTTTGACAACCACCCGCATGTCTCCAGGGTGACCAGTCTCACAAGGCCCCTCTGAGGCTGCATCCACGGTGTCGTCTTTCGTTGCCTCGGCTCCGGCACATGACGCCACAGTCAGCTTGGCACATAGGACTTAGGGATTTAGGGTTTAGGACTTAGGGTTTGAGGGTTTGAGGGTTTGAGGGTTTTAGGGTTTTAGGGTTTTAGGGCTTTAGGGTTTTTGGGTTTTAGGTCTTTAGGGTTTTAGGGTTTTAGGGTTTTAGGGTTTTAGGGTTTTAGGGCTTAGGCCGGCAGATGTCTGCAAGCACCTCAAACCTGCATCCATCCGAGCATGCTGCTTTGAAGAACTCTTCTCGTGCCTTCTCTCTGCCTGCAAGCCGGTGTCTGCGAACACAAGGCACGATTCTTCTAGATTCTAGCTCAACTTGATGACCGCAAGATGCTGGCATCTATATGGGATTTCCAAAACAAATCAAAAGACAAAAGTCGTGGCAAGGCGGCTGTTATGCAACTGTAGAACCATTGACGACGAGCTGCATGCATGTTCATGGGCAAAGGGCAAGGAAACCCAATTCAGGTCGATGCGTGCCCGGAATACGCTACGAAAATTCTGCAAACATGTCGTCAATCACAGGTGGGAAGGCACAGAAGCTCCAGCACGTACCATGGCAGGTGTGTCGCAACAGGATAAAGGATAAGACTTCAGTCCACCGCATCGCCTGCTTCAGCGAAGACACGCCGCATGTTCAGCGGACTCTTTCGCAAGAGACATGTGCCTTGGGATCATGGGTCCAACGTGTCCGAGTGGCATGCCGGCAGACATTGCATGTGCACACAGATGCCAATGCGTTCTGGAGATGTTGCGTGGTTCAAACTGCACGCTCCTGAATCGGCGCAAGCTTTGACAGTCTACAGCTTGAAGTGACAACACTTCTGCCACGGCACCTTCCTTGGTGACATTCACCTCAGCCAGACCCAGCCAGACTGACGGCTGCTGGGTTCGCTTCTCGGCTTTGCAGTGCGGTCGTTCGAGGCCCGTGCCAACCGGATGCCTTCTTCCGTCTCCTTTTCTTCTCGCACCTGGGTCACGAGAGGATTTTCAAACATATCCCGTCTGCTGCATGACATCTTCCCACTTGTTCTGAAGGCTGCAAGTCTCCTTTAGGATAAGGTGCTCCGTATTGGCTCACCAAGAAGGGATATGCATTTCGCTTGAGGGCCCGGTAGATGTCTTGTAACTTGACCTCGGGGAGGCAGAGGAAATCACGGCTCAAGACTTGGTACACGGTTCACTTGCGAAGCTTGACTTTGTAAACTGAAGCTTCTGACTGCCACTGTAATCAGACAAGCCACATCAAGGCGAATGGGGCAGTTGTGCTTGTCTTTCACGGCAATGGCACACTTGACGCAGCCGATGGAACTTGGCTTGGGTCAGCCAGAACGCCGTCAAACACAGCAAAGAGCAAAGAAGAGCTTCTGGACTCATTTAGACTCTAAACTGAGGCCTGCACCCATCCAAGGTTTTGCACTCAGGCGTATTTTCTTCAGCCATGGAACCTATCCTCATGCTCATCGTATCAACACAACTCAGCTAACATGTAGAAGCACGAGAACACTCTCATTGAGAGGAAAGCGATGGAAAGAACATGACTCAGTTGTAGACCACTTCTCATAAGACTTCGGGTTCCTCGCACAATTCTCACATGATTGCCTGTTGCTGAGATCCGGATCCTTATCGATGCGGTGGCATATGCGTTTGATGGGGCAGAATGGAGAGGTCCGTGGCTATGCCCCTTCAGGCAAAAGCTCCTGAAGAAGTTGTCTTCCACCCCAAAGGCGTCCTCGCTCTCTCTGCTATGGGCCTCGGAGTCTATCAGAGTTTAGGGTTTAGGGTTTAGGGCAAGCAGTATCGTCTCTCGGCCAAAGTGCACATGAAAAGAGCTGTGCTATGCCTATAAGGTCGCCTATGGCGACCCTCTAAAGTCCTCAAACCTGCAAACCAGCCTCTGGCGAAAACGGAAGGAACCATCTAAGGTCAGTATTGTATCAAGAGACGCACGCAGGCAGAATCATCTGAGCAACCATGAACTGGAGGATCATCTATGTTCATATGATTCATAAGTTTGGCGCCACTTAGCAGATATAAACGCACCGACATATCTAAGATGCCACGTTCCGCAGCGTTTGAGAACATATTGTTTGCCAGGCTTCAACATCCACGAGGCCAAAAGCATGTAATTTGCGATGTTTCGAGGCCCCAGGAATCCGTGCGCACGCGCACGCTGCGGAAAAAGTATATTTCGTCCAAAATGCGACCACCGCTCGAGGAATAACGTCCGTGTGACTGCGGCGAGCAACTCAATCTAACGCTCTTTTACTCTGAACGAAAGAACCCCTGGTGCTGGCGCACACCGTTTGGGGAAAAAGCAGATCTCATGAAATCACTTTCACATCATATCTGGAGAGCTGCCGAATGGACGTGTCCTCTGACAGAGTCCAACATCTGCCATTCAGAGCTGCAACATTTGCACGGGCCTCATAACACAGACTGCGCGGGACTGAGGATGCAGCTCCACAGATCACCCACTTGCTGTGGGCCTCACAGAGCATGTGAATGAGCCCGGGTTCTGCATGTTCTTCCACGGGATTTTAAACCTTCAACGCAAGAGTGCGCCTTCGCCATCAGCTTCGAAAAATCTTCATACTTTCCGGCGGCTTTCCTGAGCTTGTGAAACTTTAAAACGTCACACTCCACAAGTATGAACACTCAATTCTGGTCGGTGGTTTCGGCTCTGCTGCAAGATCAAGAAATGACACAAGTGACGTGTGTGCGGCATCTGGCGGCGGGCTGCAAATAGAAAGGTACAAAGCTCATGAACGCCAGTAGCCTTATGAACACTACTACTTGCGGCAGCGTGGGATGGGATGCTTTCTGCCGTGACTTTCGAAGACATGGCACGTCGCGCTCATCTCGTCCGTGTGCTCGCTCATAACTGTGCCTGGAAGCCCTAAACCTTAAACCCTAAACCCTAAACCCTAAACCCTAATCGGCTGAAGAGGGTCCAAAGTTTGGGCACCCGAACTTGGCTGATGTATGTCCGGTGTGTCGTGGTGGGAACTTGCACAGAATTTCCCTAAACCCTAAACCCTAAACCCTAAACCCTAAACCCTAAACCCTGAATCAAATCCAGAATAAGGGCATGCAGGGGTTCCGTGGCACGGACCTTCGATTCTAGGGGGTCCGGGTTCTTTGTCAGGGGGTCTTGTCTGCTTTCGACGTGGGGCTCAAGGCGTTGCGGCCGACTTGACAATCCCTAAACCCTAAACCCTAAACCCTCGCCTTTCAAGTCAGTCCCCCTTGATACCTTCTGACAAAAAAGGCACGTAGTCTAATTGCTGCAACTCTCCCAGGCCCCATATGTCTGATGTTCCCGACATCTCCCAACCGAGCGGCGTTCAAAGAACTGCTCCAGCTTCTTGGAGCGAGTGGGATCCAACTCCCCAATCCTTTGGCAAAGGCTGCATTGCAACATCATCTCCACAGAGGCACCATCGGTTTAGGGTTTAGGGTTTAGGGTTTAGGGTTTGGGGTTCAGGGTTTCGGGTTTAGGGTTTAGGGTTTAGGGTTTAGGGTTTAGGGTTTAGGGTTTAGGGTTTAGGGTTTAGGGTTTAGGGTTTAGGGTTGAGGTTTTAGGGTTTAGGATTTAGGGTTTAGGGTTTAGGGATGGCGGCAAGCAGCGTCTGGGTATACTTGCCAGCCATCGCGTTCTCAAACTCTTGGTTCCTGACCCGAGCAAGAGCTTGAATTGCCCAGCTTGCATTCGCCACGCTGCAAGTCTGGCTATGTCTTGCCCGGCTGCATTGCAACAAACGTCTCCATGAACTTCAGCTTTAGGTCTTTTCCTCAGCGCTCACGAGCAAGTCATCCCCAACGAGCCCAATACCCCTTAATTAAGGAATATTCCTTATCTCATAATAAGGATCCCTTGTATGATGTCAGCACTTTGGATGCAATCTCGCTTTTCTTGACTCTGGCTACATGGGGGGTTTACGAAAATAGAGGGACCCCTGAAACAGACCCCCCAGATAGTAGCATTCCCTTGTATTAAGGACCCCTAAACCCTAAACCCTAAACCCTAAACCCTAAACCCTAAACCCTAAACCCCCAATGAGGCACCCGAATATGCGTTGCCTTCTCTCAGGGATGCCTTCAAGGCTCGGAGCTTGTATTCAAAGCACATCTCCGGCGCAAAGAGCTTCCGAATGCGAGCCATGTGCTCCGTGATATCCTACAGGGGAATAGGGTTTCGGGTTTAGGGTTTAGGGTTTAGGGTTTAGGGTTTAGGGTTTAGGGTTTAGGGTTAGGGTTTAGGGTTTAGGGTTTAGGGGCACTCACGGGGATTGCACAGTTCGGAGTTGCAGGGCCTCGAGATCCCAGAAGCCGTTGCATCCAGCCATGTTCATGTCCTGGGGTATGAATGGGACCACCCGATAGACTCCAGATACTAGGACGGACGAATCACATCTTCATCTTCGAGTCTGAACCCTAAACCCTAAACCCTAAACCCTAATCTGTGAAGAACAACGATGGGATCACCCAAAAAAGCCTTTTTGTTGCCAGAGTTCCGCAAGGATGTGCTGTCCTCCCTCACGCTTGTGCGGGTACCTGGAATGATACACAACGCACCGTGCTAGAGGGCACCAGCGGACTTTCGGGTTTAGGGTTTAGGGGTTTAGGGGTTTAGGGGTTTAGGGGTTTAGGGGTTTAGGGGTTTAGGGGTTTAGGGGTGTAGGGGTTTAGGGGTTTAGGGGTTTAGGGGTTTAGGGGTTTGGGGGTTTAGGGGTTTAGGGTTTAGGGTTTAGGGTTTGGGGTTTGGGGTTTGGGGTTTGGGGTTTGGGGTTTGGGGTTTGGGGTTTGGGGTTTGGGGTACGTCAGCAGATGTTGCGACTGAAGTGGCGCCAAGCCACGAGGCGACTCGAGGCCCGAAGCAGAGCATGAACAGGTTCTTTGGCTTGGAGACATGGTGCCTAAGAGCACACAGGATGAGTTTGCCTCCTTGGAGGTTCATGGCACTTATTAAGCCATTAAGATAACTGTACTTAATAACCCACTTATAAGCCATAAGTACAGTTATAGTTGGTTCATAAGTACCATGAACCTCCAAGTATCAAGGGGTTTTTGCACTTGCCACTAGGGGCCGACCTAGCCGAGCCACTTCAGGCAGGTTTTGCTAAATTTTACGGGACGGTGGAGCATCTCACCAAACAGAACAACATGAATCAACACCAACAGCTCCCACAGCTGATCCCATTTAAAAACCCAAAGCGACATGCTCGGAAGGGTTTTTGAGTAACAGACATGTGTGCCATGCCGGGCGCCTCATGTCTACGGCGCTCAATTTGGAGCCTCGCGCGCTCGCGCAGTGTAAGCACACGCGAAGGGCACTCCAAGAGCTCCCCCAAGAGCTCCCCCAAGAGCTCCCCCAAGAGCACTCGAAGCACTCCAAGACTTCCCCAAGACCGTAGGACGTCTGACCACCCCACCAAAAAAAAAAACACCCCGAAGCGATCCTACAGTTCCACTTCAAGAGGGTTTGGGGTTTGGGGTTTAGGGTTTAGGGTTTAGGGTTTAGGGGTTTAGGGTTTAGGGTTTAGGGTTTAGGGTTTAGGGTCCGCAGAAAAGCACGGACACGGAACGGATGGAGATGTGATAGCAATACGATGACTACGCGGGGAAGGGGTGTAGAACCTGCCTCATCGTAAGAAAGCTTCGGTCTTGTCTTTCGGGACTGATGTCCTTCACTGAGTTGCGGACGCTGGTGGTCATGCGATTTTTACATGACCGCTTGCATACAAAACTTGCAGGAGCTTGCTGCGTGAAACGTGTTGTCGTGTTGTGGTGGTCCGCTTCGCATGCCGCAAAACCTGGAACATATTGTTGGCTGTGGTTGATTTCTACGTGGCCCGTCTTATCGCACTTAAGAATTGCATTCCAAGCTTACCTGCAGTACATTTCCGTTTCCTTGCTTCACATGCCTCCGAGCCTGGAATATCTTCCTAGCGGTCATACGTTGCTATATGACCTGATTAAACAGGGTTTTGAGCATGCTGCCTTGCTTGATCCGATTGCCGCTTCCGGTAATCCATTCATCACAACAGCCTTGCGCCAAAGCCTCTGAATATTTCTGAATCCGGGCTTTGAACGCTGAAGCTGATGCTTTGTACTTCCCTTAAATCTCAACTAAACCGTCGAAGACGAATCGACAGAAGCAGTAGTATCGTTGCCCAGAAATTGGAGACCTACAACGCTGTAGATCGCAAATCCCACTCGCGCCAGACCTGCAAATACACTATGGCTCGGTGGGGGGGATTTGTGGGAAACTTAAACACGGTGTATCGAGTGTCTTGGCAACCCTGACTCCCACCCCCCCCCCCCCACCCTGCCAATACAATGCAAGGACTTGCCCAGCTGCGAGTACTGCTTGGAGGGCCGAAGAAAAGTTGACCAAGGAAGCTGATGCTTCACGCTCCAATGCATATCCTGGCAGAGAAGGCCGCGGCACCATGTCTTCACAGCGCATTCTTGTTGCAATGACTAGTATGAGAACTGTGAGCACAGAGGACACAAGCTGCACGTCGCCCCCCCTAAAGCCCAAACCCCAAACCCTAAACCCAAAACCCTTAAGTCAGTCCTGCATGTAGATCGAGTCACGCCTTTCTTCATCGGACCTTCAACTGCGCGCCATCCTCTTGCGGCAGCAAAGTACACTCTCGTGCCACCAAAGCACGTATTGAGACGAAGCTCTTTGTCCATCTCCTGCATGGAACTCATCGCCTGCCAAGTCCACCGTTTGCCCAAGTATGCCCCGCCCCTCCCGCGGATTGGAGTCGCCAGAATGGCTGCCGGCCTTTTTGGTCACGTTGACAGTGAAGCGATAAGCTTCGTTCAGTTTGGAAGTGCTGGTGTTCCTCATTTCGCGCAAGGTTCTACTGCGGATGAAGGATATCTTACGCACGGGTATGAATCTTGCATGCCTCGTGCCAGCCAGCGTCACCATGTAACAATAGGGTCGGAACTAAGACAAAGGTGGTGCAAAACTTCCTCCATCGTAGCTCCATGACTTTCCCGCGTGGGAGCACGTAAAACATTGCCTGGCCTCTCACCCTTAGCATCTCTTTCTTTTTGTTTGCTTGTTGTTTGCTTGCATCGTCTTCTACTACTCTGCCACCCCCTTGACCTTCAAGCGCCTCCGTGTTTCGCTCTTTCTTGAGCATGGGAAGTGCCAAGCCATCCCCCACATCAAAGGTCTGGACCATAAGAGAACTGAAGAACCTTCCCCCAAGGGCTTCCACTGCTTCGTCGTTGTGCTATATCTGTTTCTGTGAGAGCTGCGACCACTTCTCATATGCTTAAGCTCTGCCTCTGTCAAGGTCATCAAAAAAACACCACTGCACATGAGATGATGGGTTCTAAGCTGCGGCAAGAGAATGATGCCGCTTGTAAACCAGTGCAACTGAAGCTTTCCTGTTTTCAAGCGTGGCACAAAGCCAGCGTCAGCTTGTCGATGTCCTCTGACCTCTGGACATAGATGGAATTGCCTTAGCCAACTGTGCCGTGCTGCCGGTCAGCAAGTGCCTCGAGCTGCATTGCTTGCAATTAGGTTAGATTTCTGCCAGCCCTTCTGATCGAAGATGAGATCACGAAAGCCGAACTGGTGCCAAGTTTAGGTAAGAAGCTGCATCGAAGAGGGAACAGATGGGCGTTCCTGTACCTCGAGAGGTTGATCAAGGACGACTTGGTAGCGACACAGCAATGACAAAGTCACCCAAGCTTGTCGGCTTACATCATTGCTCGCCACGGCACTCCTCGTAGATCTCTTGACCTGATGACCAGATGAAAGTGATGGAGTTGCGGTTGGTGGAATAGGGTGACACGCCTCTACTCATCCTACTCATCAGATATCAGGCCACTTAGCCTTCATTAGAAAGGGGTACACTTCCAGCAGCCCACGGGAGCTCCATTTAGGGTTTAGGGTTTAGGGTTTAGGGTTTAGGGTTTAGGGTTTAGGGTTTAGGGTTTAGGGTTTAGGGTTTAGGGTTTAGGGTAACTTGAGTTGGCCAAGCCGCGAGTCACGTTGTGCCCCACCGCCGGCGTGGCATGGTCCACTGCCACCTCCCGGCTATAGCAGACTAGTCCCACCCTGCCCCCTAATATTAAACCCCCCTCCCCCATACCCCCTAATAGTAAATACACCCCCCCTTTATAGTTATATTATAACTCTACTGGAGGGGGTATTTACTATTAGGGGGCAGGGGGGGGGGGGGGGGTGTAGTATTAGGGGGAGGGGACTATGTTGGCCCGCAGCAAAAGCTGCATGATCGCTCCCTTGGCCTTCAGCATTCACGTGACAGCCAAAATTCAGCTACACACTTTGGAACAACACCACACAACATCCTCCGGCACTTAACAAAACCGCAGGAAAGAACCGCCTACTGGTACATGCAGCTACAGCCTGAGTCTGGCCCGAAAACCCTATTTCTCACAGTTTGGCCATCATTCTTCACTCAAGCAGGTCTTCAGAGGGGTCGGAGTCCGACTCTCCAGCCGAAGCCGACAGAACCCAAATGCCTTTTCCATCTCGTATTTCGCAAGCTCCACGAACTCCTGTCAAGCGAGCTTAAAAGGGTGCCGATGGGAACATCCTGCTCTGGCGCCGGAAGACATGTCTGGCGTTTATGGTTTAGGGTTTAGTGTTTAGGGTTTAGGGTTTAGGGTTTAGGGTCTACGTTTTAGGGTTTAGGGCTTAGGGTTTAGGGTTTGAGTCCGTTCTGCTGGAAGAGCGTCGAGCACCATAGGACAATGCACAACGAGGCAGAATTTGCGAAGACGGCTGGGCTCAGCGCAATCCTCATCCGGCAGATAGCGCATGCAGACATAGAAGGAGAGCAGATGGTCGAGAATTCCATCCTCTGCTCCGGGAAATGCAAAACTGATCCAGATCAGCATGGGTGTAAACAAACCTCTCCCTAAACCCTAAACCCTAAACTTTAAACCCTAAACCCTAAACCCTAGACTCAGACCCTAAACCCTAAACCCTAAACCCTAAAACCTAATTGTTGCAGCCAGATATCTATGGACAGGTGATTGACCTGCTCCACCAGCTTACGCACGTGCTCGCGCCCTGCTCCGAGATCTTTGGCGGCGACATTTGGCAGCACAACAGCAAGTGCAAGTGGGCCCGCCTTCTTCTGCCAGCTGGATTTGTTCGCTTTCCTTGGGTGGCTCAATCTCATCAACTTAGATCAACTAGCAATCGCCGACATCCCCTCGGAAACCACCTCGCAGACGGTAAAATGGTTCACACCGTGCATATTCCAAACATTATGTACTTGGTGTCCATGTATGATATGTATGTGTCCGCAATGTGGGTGCTAGTGGGCGTGGGGCTGTGCGTGTGCGAGCGTGCACATTCTTTTGGGTTCGTGTGCATCAAGCGACGCTCGGCACTAGCTCCGGCACTGGACAGTCTTTCCATTGGGAAAGCTTGTCAACAGCCAAGACGTCAATGCTATGCCACGTGAGCAGGCTGTGAAGCGATTTCGTCTGTGCCTGCGGCAAACCGTAGACCCAAAGTTTTCACACTCTATGAGCGCTCTGTGCCCATAGACGCACAGGGTCACTCCCAGTTTACAATTTAGTCAATCTGAGTTTGAATGGCTTGCTGGACTCCCGCTAACAGCTAACACAGACACCAGTTTTCCATGGTGATGTTTTCCGGGACTCCGGGACTCCGGGACTCTGGGACTCCGGGACTCCGGGACATGTGCTTGCGAAAGATTGTCACAGGGATGGAAGTGGTAGTTCCAGCACAAGCAACGGGCGATGACATCAAGACTCGCATTGTCGACATTGAATGCATCTGTTTTGCGTCGAAGAAGCACTTTCACCGTGAACATAACCGTCAAACATTGACATGCTACCCACTACACTGCAGTTTCGGAGATCAAGTGTTTCTCTGAACTACGTTTTGTTACTCGGCAGGCGGCTGAGCCCACACCAAGCATGGCATACGAGTCGGAAGCAAAAGCGGCCAGTTGAGTGGAGTTGAATTGAGAATGCAACACCTCTCCAAAACCCGGTTGATAGCTCCGCCACTCTACCAGTGCATGAGTAAGAGTGCGTGTATGTGAGTATGAGTGTGAGTCTGAGTGTGAGAGTGTGTGTGTGTTGTGCATGTGTGTATGTGTGTGTGTGCGCGCCTGCACGCGGCGCTGATGCGCATCCACGCGTGCGCGTGCACGTGCACACGAGCGCACGTGCACGTGCACACGTGCGCGCGTGCGCGCGTGAGCGTGTGCGCGCGTGGTGCGCGTGAGCGTTCGTGTGTGTGTGTGTGTGTGTGTGTGCGTGAAAACCAATTCACATCCTGGGACTGATAAGTAACACGCACGTGAAGTATGTCATTTGGGACCAGGAGGGGTGGGGAAGCCAACCCGGTGCAAAGGTACCTGCTTTCTTGGCCCGCTCATGGACTCCCGCGGGGGTAGCTTGGGAGGCCTTGCCCTTCGTTCATCCTTCACCTCATTCACCATTCCTTTGTCTGGTGCAGCCCCAGATCCGCTCTTTGGCATCATCTCGCGTTCACGTATGCCATGCCTGGTGTCTAGCATGTGGCGTATCGAACTCATCATTTCACATCATCCCAAAAGCCATCCCTTAGTGATGTGGACATGTTCACTTGTGCTGTTGCTTCAGAAGGTTATGACACTTGTGCGGTTGCTTCCAAAGCTTTTGACCGTGTGTGACAGTGTGTGTTTGTGCGTTTGTGCGTTCGTGTGTTCGTATGTTCGTGTATTATTGTGCTCGTAAATTCTTGAGTTCTTGACTTCTTGTGTTCTTGTGCTCTTGTGTTCTTGTGTTCTTGTGTTCTTGTGTTCTTGTGTTCTTGGGTTCTTGTGTTTTTGTGTTCTTGTGTTCTTGGGTTCTTGTGTTCTTGCGTGTGTGCGTTCGTGCGTGCGTGCGTGCGTGCGTGCGTGCGTGCGGGCGTGCGGGCGGGCGGGCGGGCGGGCGGGCGTGCTTGCGTGGGTGTGTGTGTGTGTGTGTGTGTGTGTGTGTGTGTGTGTGTGTGTGTGTGTGTGTGTGTGTGTGTGTGTGTGTGTGGTGTGTTGTTTGTTGTGTGTGGTGTGTGTGTGCTGTGTGTGCTGTGTGTGCTGTGTGTGCTGTGTGTGCTGTGTGTGCTGTGTGTGCTGTGTGTGGTGTGTGTGGTGTGTGTGGTGTGTGTGGTGTGTGTGGTGTGTGTGGTGTGTGTGGTGTGTGTGGTGTGTGTGGTGTGGGTGGTGTGTGTGGTGTGTGTGGTGTGTGTGGTGTGTGTGGTGTGTGTGGTGTGTGTGGTGTGTGTGGTGTGTGTGGAGTGTGTGGTGTGTGTGGTGTGTGTGGTGTGTGTGGTGTGTGTGGTGTGTGTGGTGTGTGTGGTGTGTGTGGTGTGTGTGGTGTGTGTGGTGTGAGTGGTGTGTGTGGTGTGTGTGGTGTGTGTGGTGTGTGTGGTGTGTGTGGTGTGTGTGGTGTGTGTGGTGTGTGTGGTGTGTGTGGTGTGTGTGGTGTGTGTGGTGTGAGTGGTGTGTGTGGTGTGTGTGGTGTGTGTGGTGTGTGTGGTGTGTGTGGTGTGTGTGGTGTGTGTGGTGTGTGTGGTGTGTGTGGTGTGTGTGGTGTGTGTGGTGTGTGTGGTGTGTGTGGTGTGTGTGGTGTGTGTGGTGTGTGTGGTGTGTGTGGTGTGTGAGGTGTGTGTGGTGTGTGTGGTGTGTGTGGTGTGTGTGGTGTGTGTGGTGTGTGTGGTGTGTGTGGTGTGTGTGGTGTGTGTGGTGTGTGTGGTGTGTGTGGTGTGTGTGGTGTGTGTGGTGTGTGTGGTGTGTGTGGTGTGTGTGGTGTGTGTGGTGTGTGTTGTGTGTGTGGTGTGTGTGGTGTGTGTGGTGTGTGTGGTGTGTGTGGTGTGTGTGGTGTGTGTGGTGTGTGTGGTGTGTGTGGTGTGTGTGGTGTGGGTGGTGTGTGTGGTGTGGGTGGTGTGTGTGGTGTGTGTGGTGTGTGTGGTGTGTGTGGTGTGTGTGGTGTGTGTGGTGTGTGTGGTGTGTGTGGTGTGTGTGGTGTTTGTGGTGTGTGTGGTGTGTGTGGTGTGTGTGGTGTGTGTGGTGTGTGTGGTGTGTGTGGTGTGTGTGGTGTGTGTGGTGTGTGTGGTGTGTGTGGTGTGTGTGGTGTGTGTGGTGTGTGTTGGTGTTGTGCGTGTGTGTGTGTGTGTGTGTGTGTGGGGGTGTGAGCCAGCGCGGCCAAGGCCGCCCTGCGCCGCGGGCTCGCCCCTGGTCGCGTGGTTTTCGGGCTGCACTCCGGCGCACCAGACAGAACGATGCAGGGTCGGTCCTAAGTGCAAACAGCGTGGGCCCAGTCCGTGAGTTCAAGTCGAGCGTGGGTCCGTGTCTGCCGTGCTGGCCGGGGCTCTTGAACCTGGTGCCTGGGTGGCAGCGCTGACAGGGAGGGGAGGCTCCTACGTGGGGGGGACCGTGGGCGTGGTGCGTGGTGGGGGGCCCACGTGTGTGTGTGGGTGGGGGGTGGTGTGGGTGTGGGTTGGGGGTGTGTGAGGGGTGTGTGTGTGGGGGGGGGGTGTGGTGTGGGTGGGGTGTGTGGGTGTGTTGTGTGTGTTGTGTTGTGTGTGTGTGTGTGTTGTGTTGTGTTGTGTTGTGTTGTGTGTGTGTGTGCGTGGGTGTGTGTGTGGGTGGGTGGGTGTGTGTGTGTGTGTGTGTGTGTGTGTGTGTGTGTGTGTGTGTGTGTGTGTGCGTGTGTGTGTTGTTTGTGTGTGTGTGTGTGTGTGTGTGTGTCGTGTGTGTGTGTGTGTGTGTGTGTGTGTTGTGTGTGTGTGTGTGTTGTGTGTGTGTGTGTTGTGTGTGTGTTGTTTGTGTGTGTGTGTGTTCTGTGTTGTGTGTTGTGTGTTTGTGTGTGTGTGGTGGGTGGTTGTTGTGTTTGTGTTTGTGTGTGTTGTTTGTGTGTGTTTGGGTGTGTGTGTGGGTTTGTTTTGTTTTTTTGGTGTGTTTGGGGGTGGGTTGGTGGGTGTGTGGGTGGTGTTTTGGTGTATTGTTTGTTATGTGCTTCTGTAACTTTGTGTTTTTGCGTTCTTGTGTTGGTTGGCTTGTTTGCTTGCTTGCTTGTTTGTTTGTTTGTGTGTCGGGTGTGGGGTTTGCAGGGGTGTGGGGGCGCAGGGGTGTGTCGGGGTGTGAAGTTGTGGGGGCGGGTGAGGGCGGGTGTGTGGGTGGGTGTTGCAAGCATGCGGCAGACGCCGCATCGTTGTCTTCCGCATCATCACTATTGAGGTCCGGGGCAAAGAGGAGGCGCGCTTTCTTCCTTGCAGCGCTTGCAGCTCACGCAACTCCCCAAGGCAAGTTCAACCGGCGACACCACCTGATCTGGTGCAACTGTGGCTAGACTTGACGTGGCCGCAAAAATAGTTTTCATGCCAATGCTATTCTTTCAAGTGAGGTACACGCGTCGGCCGAAGATTGGCCAGTTCTTCACGTTGAGCCAATTCCTTGCATGTCTGCGTGACGTCGCACGTCTACAAATGGATGGCGTAATGGTTTCTGCACCCACTCCTGGCTACATGCATGGAACTCTCTCTGGCCGTGGAGGCATATATTAGCAATGATGCAAGAAAGCTCACGCTGGAAAAAGAACCGCCCCTCCCGCCCTTCTCCCTGACCTCGCCTTACCTCCCCTGTGTCTTTTCGTCAATGCTTCAATAGGAAAAGGTTTCAAAGGATGTCTACTCGCAGAGTAAACCAGCTCCAGTAAACCACGTAGACTTCCCCGGTCCACTACCAGGAGAATCCGCAGACAATCACACAGTGTATCGCTGGAGCCCCCCGCCCCCCCTTGGAAACAAAGAACGTGCGGAAATAGCCAGCCCACAGAGAATCCCCCGCATCCCTGGAGTGCCAAGACTGCGCAGTGATGGGGTGAAGGAGGGCGCTTGGAAGGGGCGGAGGGGGTGGACAAATTCTCTCCCCGCCCAGAACTGATAGCCCAAGCAGTCAGGCCAACACCATACAGAGGGTCCAGTTCTTGAAGCAGCGCATGAGGGTATCAGATGATGGACCTGCTTTAGCAGAGGCAGGACTGTGACTGTTTGGGGGGGGGGGGGGGGGGGGGGGGGGTCCAGAGCAGTCGTTGGCGGGCCTTTTGAACCAACCATGTGAGGATTAGTCTCTCCATCAATCCGGCAAAGGGGTGGATGGAGCCACTTTTGGCGCTTGAGCCACCCGGACCTCCTTTCACGGGCACTGTCTCTTGGGGTCCCGGGCCCTGGGCGCGCCCCTGCCTCTTGAGTGAAGGGGCTTGGCCCTTGAAATCTTAAAGCAAAGGAAAGTAGGCTCTTGACCTCTTCAGCCCAGCGGGCTTCGGATTTCGATTACTTGGGCTCTTGTTTTGCAAAACCAGGCTCTTGAAATCTTCAGGCGAGGGAGCCTTGGATTGGATTGTAAAAGGCCCTGGCCTCTTGGCCTACAGGACACCGTAATCCCTTCTAAGGTGGGGGGGGGTCCCTAAGCCTGCATGTCTAATCCCATCTTTTGAAGCTCATGTAAACTCATCCCTATCAACATCACATTAAAGCCCCGTAACCCCGTGGACTGCTTAAAGAGGGACAAGATCAGCTTGGACTAAACACG